AACCCAACAACTAGTGTTAAGAAAAGCAAACACCAAATATGACATTATCCCATTTAATTCCAACGTAAGTGTGAAATATAAAAAAATGGCAGAATTAAGTTACTTTAGAACAAATAAAACTAATACATCAAGCCTAGAAGAGTTAGCTCGGCAAAATGAGATAGTTAAGAATATTTAAAGGGAAAAAGGTTTCCCAGATCAATTCATTAAAGAATTAGCAAACACATCAAAAAAGAAGATAAACGAGATTCTAAAATGTATACAGGTGTAACAGTTTTCGATGAAATCAGTAAGAGACACCTGTTTGTAAAAAATGTATTTAGTAAATCGATTCTTAATAAAGATAAATTCCATCTTCCAACCGACATACCAGGCAAAAACAATATATATTTACAGTTAAGAAAATGAGAAATCAACTCAACTTCTAAATGTTTTATTTCATAGAAAAATGAAAAATGGAGAATAAACAAGTTTAGGCAAATTAACATAACATTAAAAATTCGAAATGATTTTTATATTTATAAAAATGACTAATGTAAAATTCAGTTGATCTTTACATAAAGCCTAATTTAATTTAATTTTTAAATTAATTTTTATTTTAAATTTAATTTTATAAATTAAGTTTAAATTGAAGACGGAAATTGTTAGCTTCCCGGGGTGGGTTCTGTGTTCCTGGAGCACCGGACCCACGCATTTTTTCCTAAACATGTTGTTATTATACATTTTTATGCAGGTTTATGCAGTTTTATGCATTTACTATTAATTTATATAATTCTTGCAGATTTTTATGACATTTTTCTATAGGGTGTCCCACATCAAGACCGAGAACGGGTCTAAATTACGATTTTCGGAACTAATTAGAAAATTTCATTAGAATGAATCATTTTGAAAAAAACATAAGGCTCATATAAGAATTTTCTTGCGGAAAATGATAAGTTTTTCGAGTATTAAGGGTTTATTTTGGTGTTAAAGATTGGAGATAATCTAATATGATATGGGACGCTCTGTAGACTAAAATAAAAAGAATAAAAGGGTCAAAAAATTAAAATATTCTGGTTCCGGTGCTCCCTTAAACTAACATTCTCCTCATCGTCTTAAACTTAAAATTTACTAAAAAAATTGCATATTCAAGTTTTAAGAAACTTATTTAGCAAAGGTTTTTAGATAAAATAACTTAGTTTTTTCTTAAATTGTTGATAAATAATTCAACTTAAACGAAATTTAGAATAAAATTTTAATTCAAGTTACGACTTTCTATTTTTATTTTTTAATATTCCGAGTTTCAAAAATTAACTTTAATTTTCATTTTTAAATTTCAGGAATATGCAACAGTTACATTAGGAGAACCCATATTTAAAAACAGGTTTAATATGTTAATTTTACTAAAAATTGAGAAAATCGAGAATCCATAGGATGGCCATTCTAGTTAACTAAACACGAGAAGACTGACATTTTGGAAATAAAGCCTGTTAAAGGAAAATGTAAAATTCCTGATAAAAAGCAGATGGGTTACATTGGGGTCAGCAGATGGGTCAGTCAGCTAAACAATCCAGAGATGACTTCAGAGATGACTTGGATTGGAAGATTTTCAATTTTAATACGTGTAACGGTGGTACTTTAGCTTATAGAGTTTAAATCCTGAAAACGAAAGTTTTAATGTGGCTTGTTTAGGTTTTTCTCACTGACTCTAGATATGCAGATATGCAGATCGAGCATGAAAATAGTGTCCTAGATACATGAGGGCAGGGGCGTAGTGGAGGGGGGGGGGCCGTGGCACCACTGTGCCTCCCCTAGACATGCACCCCCCTAGAGCCATGGGCAAGCTCTAATTTATTAAACAGTAAACTTGCATATTCAGATTTTTTACTTTTCTTATCAATCGACAATGTCGCAATTTGTCCATTTTATGATTATTTCTCAAATTCTTTCTTGTACCTTAATCTTATTTACAATATTTTTTTCGCGGGGTTTCATTTAAAATGATTGGTAATTATAGTCAGATGACTAATAGTCAGCCTTCAGGTAGATTAATATAGATTTTAAACCTTATTTTTTTCTTAATACCGGTTTTTTAGGGGGGTGCATATCAACCGTGAGGGAGGTGCACAAAAGTGCACCCCCCAGGCTAACCCTCCACTACGCGCCTGCATGAGGGTTGATAGTCTTTAGCCAACTTTCCATAAGAAATTTTGCTTCCGTTCATTTTTCGAAATGTATATTATAAATAAAATAATACTTTAGTTTAAATTTATTGCCCCAAACTTTAAACTCATATCACTTTACATCATACACATTCTCGTCTTATTCATGCTCATTGCTTAATGTGCCATGTACATTGTACAATGTACTATTCAATACATGTACAATGTATAAAATAAAAGTTTTAAATGGTAGATTGGAAACCAGATATCTGTGGAATCAATGTCGTGTGTTTTCTTTCAAATACAGGGGTAGGCGATTATATCAATACAATGAAGACGACTTTCGATTCCAATTTTGAATTATACCAACCTGTTAAACATATAAGTCATGAGAAGCTGTCAATTTTAAGTCTTCTCTTTGATTACTTTTAAACTTGTAATTAAAAAAAACTTGTTAATAATTAAAATTTTAAAAAGTCGTCTTCATTGTATTAATATAATCGCTTACCACTGTATCACATAGGACTTAAAAAGAAACTGAGTTACAAAATTAAACTGAGTTCTTGTTACAAAATTAAACTGAGTTCTTGTTACAAAATTAAACTGAGTTCTTGTTACAAAATTAAACTGAGTTCTTGTTACAAAATCAGTGTTTGTGACAAGAACTCGAGCTTCCTCTTAATTGTTATTTTTGAGCATTTTACATGATTTACTTATTTTACATTTTTAATTTCTTTTGGACCTTCCTTGAACTTTTCTGTTATAGGTTATGGTATGGTGATATGTACTTTTAAAGAAAAAAGGATGCTCGAGGCATTCAGGTCGTCGGCCTCTTACCTTGGCACACAATTAAAGAGTAATGAATTTTAATCCTTTGTTCTTTAAAAGTACATATCACCATACCATAACCTATAACAGAAAAGTTCAAGGAAGGTCCAAAAGAAATTAAAAATACTTTATAATCTCAAAAATTATCTGGTGTATTTTTGGCCTTTAATTGAAAAATAGAAGTAATAAAATGTGTCACATGGTAATTTCTAGTCAAACATAAAAATAATTATTTCTTAACATTTTCCTGACGCACTTTTAGAACATTTTTTAAAAGCCTCCCTAGCTCCCCTAACACCCTAACCATTAAAGTCAGAGAGGTCTAATTATGTTGGACCAGGGACAAGTATTACACTCCCCTATCTAAAATCTGGTCATTTCATAGATAACAAAATTACAGATGAGACATTTCATAGATAACAAAATTACAGATGAGACATTTCATAGATAACAAAATTACAGATGAGACATTTCATAGAAAAAGAAGTTCATAAATAGGACATTCCATTAACAGGCTATTTTATACAATAATCTAGGAAAACTCTGGAGTAGTAAGTCGACTAATAGACTCAAGCGATGACTTTAAATAGTCCAATACCTAATAAATGATTTAATAACTTCCTAAGAAAGCTATTTACTTTGATGTCGTCTTCCTATTCTACAGTTGTCTGGTTCTCTATGTTGACACAGAAAAATTTTCATAGATCGGTAATTTCAAAGAATGCACAAGCAATTTTTTCAGAAACAATTTAAGGTTTTGGGTATGTAACATATGTTACAAAGTTCGACTAACAAGAAATCAACAAAATAATATGTTATCAGTTTAAAGCAAAAAACATGAATAATAATATGTGAAGTAAAAATCAGAGATCGTAGAAAGAACAGGATATGATTTATTAGATAGTTACTTGGAAGAAAAAATTAATTTAATCAATGATAAACATTCTCTGTCTATGAAGTCTTCAACCTATGAATTGTCCAGGGCTATGAAATGTCCTGTCAATGAAATATCTTGATTAAGAAATGTCCTATCTATGAAATGACCTGTCAATGAAATATCTTGTCTAAGAAATGTCCTATCTATGAAATGACCTGTCAATGAAATATCTTGTCTAAGAAATGTCTTGTCTAAGAAATGTCCTATCTATGAAATGACCTGTCAATGAAATATCTTGTCTAAGAAATGTCCTATCTATGAAATGTCCTGTCAATGAAATATCTTGTCTAAGAAATGTCCTATTTATGAAATGACCTGTCAATGAAATATCTTGTCTAAGAAATGAAATGACCCAACAGCTAAACTGTCAGGGCAAAATCTATCAATCTATATTAGACAAAAATAGCCCAATTGGGATGGGGTTGTGTGTAACCTTCTGACATGTTCCAAAATGGCAAAAAAATACATTTTTAGACAAGATATACCATACTGCAGAGTGCACATAGGCAACATGGGTAACTTAAGGCCGTCCTCCTGGTCATCATGCAGAAAATATTTCCGAAATCTTCTTCTTTACCATCTTGACCCAGACATTGGAGACATTCAGAGATAACAAATCAGTTATTTATTATGTGCAGTGAGAACCAGAATACTCATGAATAGGAAGACGACTTAGACTCGCATTATGGCTTTAAATAGTTCAATGAGTATTGGTAACAGGAATTGAGCAGCGTAAGAAGACCCATTTCACTTGATAAGTGATTCCATGGATTGCTAGTAAAGTAATTAATAATGTACTTATTTATCAGGATAGCTGGTTTTCGCGAAAAATTAAAGGGGGTACAGCTGATATCGATCGCTACTAATTGTACTTATATTTCTTGCCTCTATAAGGAGAAAGGGGTCAAATAACGTCTCCGTGAATTTGTAAGGATCCTACGTTCTATGAGACGTTTTCAACTATTTTCTCCTTATTGACACACTGAAGTAAAATTAGTGGCGATCGATTTCGAATCTAATTCGATATCAGCTTATACCCCCTTTAAATTTTCGCGAATGCTGCTTTTTGAAAAGAAATATTCACAAGAATAACATAAGTAACGCAGTTATATATTTGAAACAAATCCGAATTTTACAAATTAAACTGAACAAATCAAAGTTGCACTAATTTCATTAAATTATCGTATGTCAAGACCGAGCTACTTTAGGAAATGTATGTATGTAGGAAATTCTTTATCCCACCCCCCTTTACAGAAACATTGTTTTTCATATAAAACAAGTTTTAACTGTTAAGATATGTTATTGATGACCGTGAACTGAAAATGCGAAATTATTATTAGCTCGACCTGAAACAATTTTTTAATAGTTTAGCATGGTCGTTTTTGTAATTCATCTTGTATGTAAAATAAAGAAAATTAATTCCTAAACTAAATGAATCTTTAAGAACATGGACTATAAAAGATTCCACCGGTGAATTGTTTTACTAAGGTATGAATTAGGATTTCAGAAAAATTATGTTGAAAGCTTTTTTAGAAAAAGTGACAGAAAAACATAAAAACAAAATAGAAAATATCACGAGATAACGTCATTGATTCACAAAATGTCTGAAACTCGTTTTCAAAATAAATTTTACATTTAAAAACAACAATTAAAAAAATTATGGGTTAACTGTACAATGCAGTACATCTCTGGTCTTACTGTTTACTTTCCAGTATTTCAGTACAGTACAGTTCACACTTACACAATATTCAGAATAAATATTGGAGTCAATATGCAGACGGTTAATATAATAATTACATTGCAGTACACATCAACTGACAATGTAATTCCCATTTATGTTAACAATGCAGTACATTAAAAAGCAGCTGTTTTGTACATTTTCTTAAGCTTTCCATCTGTAAATTAGATGTTCATCTTTATGCAGTACAATTGTCACATTAAAGGGACTGAAAACGTAATTTCAAGTGAAGCTCCATTTATAGAATTGTTTTTCGTATTCACATTTTGTAAATTTTCCCCATTTCTCTGAGGCAAATTACTTCTATAGAGAAACCACCATTGAAAAAAAACCAATTTTTAGATTGAAAAATTGGAATATCTTGGCAATCCTAGTCTGATAAATGTTCAAAGTGTACCGTTATGAATAGGACTTCAAACTCAATAATTTGAGGTTTACTTAAAATTACAACTTTAGTACCTTTAACAATATAAATATAAGATATTTCATTCAACTTACAAATATGGTGAAATCTAGAGCACATAGCACAGTAATTGCACATTTAAACAGTATCTACTCGCGCCCATACATTCATACGTTTAAGTACATTCAGTAAATAAAGTATATATGGCGTACATAGAGTACATAGAGTACATAAGAGTACACAGAGATATAGAGGTAGATAGAACTGGGTTAAGCTGAGAGAGAGGTTGGAAGTGAGGTTGGGGGAAGTGGAGGAGCACTGGAAGATATATAGGTTGAATTAGCAGAGTCAGGTTTAGTTTCCGGTATCCGGGTTGGGGACAACAGCTGGGTTCGATCTCGCTCACGCTCACGTCCAGGTCTAAAGGCTTCAAGCAGTGTATCGACTCTTTCCTGCAATAGTGAAATGTAAAAAATAATTGATGTTTATCAAATAAGGTTTAAAGTCTAGAATACATACACTGAAGTTCAATAAATATTAGTTAAACTATGTATGGATAGTTGAACTATGGATAGTTGACCTATCCATACAAGTGAGCTTGAAAGAAGTAGTTCAAATAGCTAATCCTAGTTTAAATACTTTTAATTTGATCAGAAACTAGGTATGATAACTTGTACTGCTTTAATTCTTACAAAAAATTTATAAAAATTTATCAGTGTCCGAATTTAATGAATTTAAGTCGCGTCTTAAATCCGCCGAAAACCGGTTTCAATTGAGCGTCAGTTTAACTCTTAAAACAACATATACGATTTTAAGTGGAACCAACCATATTTGAGCCGCGGCTCAAATTCTGCCTCAGATCATTTTTTTTGTTTTTGCGTGGAAAATTCTGATTGATAAAACTTTTGAAAATCCAAGTTAATGAGAAAAATCCACAAAATGTTAAGCTTTCTCAAGTACAACTAAGAAACGGCGACTCGAAAAGCAAAATCTATTCTGAAAGCAAAAATTATTAAAAGCAACCGTATATAAAGCTGAATAGATTCTATTTTGCTGTAAAATGCGAGAAATAAAGAGCCCAAATGTTTGCTTTTTTTGCACACTCAAACCTTGTGTTTGACAATTTAAGTATAATTTAAATGATTAAATGAATGAAAACTACATTGAACAGTTAGGGAGAATAAAATGTTAGAAAAAAATCTTCAGTAAATAATGAATGATTCGTGGCCGAAAACATACCCATCAAAGGCATTCAAAGGAAGGGGGGGGGGGGGGCTGACAGGAATTTTTTTTTAAAGAAGCCTCTAAAGAAATTCCTCTTGTTGGTGATAAAAAAGTTCCTCTCGTTATAATATTGGCCAAAATATTTGTATAAATACAAAGCTTAGAAAAATAATCATATGAATTGTATATTAAGACGTCGATGTCGAACACTGCGCTAATTTACCTCTGTAGGGCCCCATCTCTGATAACCAGCATCATTCTGTAACCAAACAATCATTGTTCCGTGGACACACTTTACACTCACTTCAGGTTTAGTTACAACATGTTGGAACCCGTGTCTATAATCATGTTCCAGCGCTGGAACCACAACCTGCTTTCTCTTCCATCTACTCCCTTCTAGTTTAAGTAAGGCGGGGGGTGTAGGATCCCGCCACTCTGGCAGGAACACGATAAAAGACAAGGGTTCCATAGAGTCCTCGAGCAACCGCTCGAAGTGAGTGATAACAGCGTCCATTAACTCCTCACAGAAAGGTGGATTAGCCTCGAAAGACCCACAATGTGGTTTAAACTCGAGGATTGGGCCACGGGACCCGAAATATGAATCAATGTCGGAAAATGCGGAACAAAACTGTCGAAAATAACAGTTGAATGGACTGGCAAAGCACTCCACTGTCACTCCAAATTGTTTGTTCAAGCACTCTAGAACTGGAATGGGAAGTGCTCCCTGGTTTTGCGCCCCCTCGCCTGATAAAACGTTACCAAAGTAAGCGTTATATCGTTTAATGAGCATATAACAGCGGGATAGAAAATGCTCGAATTTTCGATCATCCGCACACCCGTAGCGGTAGAGCTGCTCTAGCTTGTGGAAGTAGGCGTTGTTGACATGAACCGTGTCCCCCTTGTATCTTAAATATGTTTTATCCTTATCCTGGACAAAGTCTACAGTGGGAAGATTAGGACAGGGTAGAGCAAACTGTATTGGATAGCACCAAACCTTCCTTTGGTGAGGGGCATTAACCTTGACGGCATGCTCATTTATTCCTCCCTCAACAAGGATACTCTGGTTCTTCTCCTTTACCTTCGCGGCATAGTCGCAGGAGAGGTTGTACATTTTCCTGCAGATACCCTCTACGCTCGACTTGGCAGCCTCGGTGATGTGAGGCTGACACTGACTCTTGAGATGGGACAACCTCTCTTGAAAATCCTCGTATGAAGCACCCACAGTCCTCCGCAACCACTGCAGGGTATCCTCCACGTTCCATTTCACTATCTTTCTCCCTTCGGAGCTCGTCCCACGCGTCTCTATCATTTTTCTAGCGGCCTCGCAGTACTTTGAGAGCTGTTTCCTGGCCTCGCCAGTGTACTTTGGTCTCACTAGCTTCATTGGAATGTCATTCATAATTTCTCTATACATGGCGACTGAGATCTCTGGAAAGCAGTACGAAGGGAACAGAGTATCTGTTCCTTGGTCAATGGTCTTACGTTCTAAAAGCCATCTGTTGAAAGACTCTTTGGGTGCATCTATACCCTCTCGAGAATGGCACATTTCCTGGTAGGTTTGACGTAGCTTCATCATCAGTTGAAACCGTAGAACCTCAACCTCTGGATGCGGATGGGGGAACAGGGTTTGAGGTTTCTCAAACATAATAACATTGGTGGGTATCTCCAGGTCCCAAGGACCAGGGACAATAATCTTCTTGGCGTTAGGTCCTAGCTCATCTGAGGCTCTTCTTTTCACCCCCTGCTGCTGGAGATGCATCATGTGGGGAGGAGGTGGATGATGGGGGGAGAGGTGCTGGTGGTGAGGAGGTGGCTGCTGGTTTGGAGAGGCATGATGTATGGGAGGTCCTGAAGGCGGGGTGTTAATCCCCAAGGGATCTGAGTTTCTCTCAAAGGTTTGCTGAATAGTTCCTGGCATATCCCATAAAGTTTCCCCGTTTCCTCGGTTAAAGTAGTACGGTCTATTCTCCCGTCTACTCCAGTATTTCCTCCAACCTAGCTGTAGCAGGTCGTGAGGTAGGTCAACCTCGAAGTTTGGATTGCCAGGGGGCGGAGCTGGACTTGGAGTCTGGGGTATCGGCTGAGGTCCAGGAGTACCAGGGGTTCCAGGGGTACCAGGAGCAGTGGGGATACAGTTCTGGGGCATTTTCAGGGGGGTCACTGGATGCTGAAAAAAATAGTTAACTATGATAAATTAAGCGCAAAACAATATTAAATTTTTATGATAATTTTATGAGAACGAAAATTTTTTCCTTTGAAATTAACATTTTCCGAGACTGTAAGATTTTCAAAAATTCGTCAGACCCCCCCCCCCCCCAGGCTAAGAAATGGAAATGTACGATTCACAACTGTACAGTTAAAAACATTTCTTTAAATTCTTTGATAACTTCCAAAATTGCTTGATTATTTCAAAATAAGTTTTTAAATTGCGGTTTCTCTATACAGTGACTTGCGGATTTCTATTTCGGAAATAATAAAGGAAAATGTCATAATTAAACACTTTTTAAGCTAAAAAAACTTTGTTGGACAGAGGGTACCGTTAAATAGAAGCTCATTTAAAATTACGACAACAGACCATTGAATAAAATATTTCTTTGGTGCTCATTATAAACATGACTTACTGTATTATTTGTTGCTGTATGGTTTCCTGTTTGATTGTTATTGTTTGAATGTTGTTGAATATGATTACTGATCTGAGGGGGTCCTGGTAGACCAGGGAGAGGGGATACATGGTCCCCCATCTTAGCACAGAAACCTAAAATAGCAAAAAATAAAAATTCCATAAATATAATTCTTTATAAGACTTTTTCTTAATACAAAACCAGATAACAAATATATATATGAATGTTTTTTTTTTTTACTATAATTCGTTTTTTTAGAAATGACAAAAATAAGAACTAGATTTGGGACTTAAAAAACTATATATCAGGAAAAACGTTTCGTCTAAAAAATTAGCAAAGGCCAATTTGTCCAGAAATTAATTAAATTTTTAATTGATGAATCATTCAATCAATCAATCAGGATCGACAAAATGGTTTATAATTTGCTAAACAACGAACTATAAATCAATATTATTTTTAGCGTTTAGTAAGTACAATCAACCTTTCCTGGCCGGCTTGTTCAATGTAAATACAAAAAAATACAAAACACAAATTTATGGGAGATTCCCGCATACGCGCCTGAAAGGGGGATCAATAAACTAGTAAATATTTGTCAGCAAAGCAGCGGACACGCCTCAAAACTTTTAGGAAACGCCTCAAAAACTGGGTTTAGAGGGATTTCCGTATTTATCAGAGAAATCGCGGTAAAAACTCAAAAAAAATACTTTAGAGGGGTTTCCGCTTTTATGGACGCATTTACGTGGTGAGACGTTTCCGTGGTGATGCGTTTCCATAGCACCGGTAAAGATGGGGAACACTAAAATTGAACAATAGATAAAACGCAAAAACTAACTAAAAAATGGGGTCTGTCCTAGTATAAGATTTTTGGCCCCCCTAGCCCCCCCCCTCCTTTCAATTTTGCACATGACCATTTATTTTTCAGCAAATTTATTATTATTTATTTTTTTGTTATTTAGGGTTAGGTTAGGTTAAGACACTTTCTGGCCGAGCGCTGCGGCTAGGATGGGCTAGGGGGCCGAGCGCTGCGGCCACGGGTTAGGTTAGTTAAGAATCTTTCTGGGCCGAGCGCTGCGGCTAGGACAGGCTAGGGGGCCGAGTGCTGCGGCCACGGGTTAGGTTAAGTTAAGACACTTCCTGTCAGACCCATGTACAAAATTGATAGGAGAGGGGGGGCTGGGGGGGGTCCAAAAATCGTTCTCTAGGAATATACCAAGAAATGCCGAAAATGTCCTCCATATACCAGAAATGATAAGAAAAAAGGTGTTAAATGACAAAAATATGAAATTATTTTTAAAAAGTATTCTAATTTCTTTGTAAAACAAGGCTAAAAAGTTCTAAGAGCTTAGTTTAACTTTCAACGAGTTCCCATGTTTATATTTTGAACTGTCAATTGACGCAAATTTCCTTCAAAACAGAAAATTTCTCACCCTATATCTCGTCAAATACTTGACTTCTCGACCATTTTCTTTTCCAGGAATCTGCGTCAAACATTCATTAATCCATTTTTTAACCACTTGTTATGCGTCAGTTTGATTTTACGTAGAAAAATGCGTAAATATGAAGATAAAATTTGGCAGACACTGCCAAGCCAACGCCATTAGGTCTCCTGGCTTATTGATCACGTGACACAGAATTTCTCAAACTGCCAACCGTACAAAAATTTTTGTTGAACAAGTAAATATTGGAAAATTTTTGAAACCCATATTAATGTTTTAGAATCAATTGCCAAAATTTAAGTTTCAAAGTATAAAAAAAATTATTGGTCTGATACACCACACGGTTGGTAATGTTTTGTAAATTAAACAATTTCACACACTTGACTCTGATTGGTCGGTTTGGTTTTATCGGAAATATTTATAACCAATGAGGAGCCGAGTTGCAACAAGTTTTCCCGGCATTGGATAATATACGCAAACACAGCTTTCTCATTCTCCCTCAAATTCCAGTCTGCTAAATTTTGAATTTGAAAATCATTTTGTAAAATCGTTTTTGTTTTATTAATTTGGGTAAAGGTATTTTTGAAAACTTATGAAATTTTAAACACGTATTTCAAATTTAATTGATTTCAAATTTCTGTCTTATAATCAGTATAAAAAGTAAATTTATTTAATTTTTACATTTTTTTTATTTTTGTATTAACGTGAATTGTAAGGAACCTTTTAATTAAACAGTGCCATCAATGATTCACTATCGGAGAAAATTGAATTGATATTTAAAATTAATAGCGATGTACAGAGCGTCCCACGTCACTTTCTGCGCGCTAACTTTAATTTTATCCACAGACAATATTTTTTTAAAGATTCATTCTTTTAAAATTTTATTATTAGTCTTGAAAATTGCAATTTAGAGCTATAAACAATCTAATGTGATGTGGTACACTCTGTATAATGTAGACAATTGTACAAATGTACTTATATTATTTTGTAAACCAAAAATTTTTATTATTTTAGGAATTAATAAATTAAGGAATGTATCCTAAAGCTGTGAAGGAGCGAAGACTGCAGAAATCATCTCATTTTATGGAAGAGATCGATATGAAATCAATAACTCCAGCTACTCACACAAATCTTGCCTCCAGAGTACATCCTTCTCATCCTGCTCATCGCTCTCATCCTAGTCATACTTCCCACCATACTCATCCTACTCATCCTACTGTACTGAATCCCGAGCTAGAATCTAATCGAATATATGTCCCTAATATCAGGTATATTAATTCAGGTGGAAGTAAGGACTACTCATTGCTTAGTATAGATAGATATAGAGATATATAGATAGATAAATATATTTGACTTAATATTTTAATTTTAAATTACACCCTGTTAGCTTTAGCCCGGAATTTTTCATAAACACGTAAGTAAAATATAGGGTCCGTCCTAGTATACGATTTTTGGATCCTCCTTCTCCCCTTCTATCAATTTTGTACATGACCAACTAATTTTCAGCAAAATTATTATTCATTTTTAGTATTTTTAGTGTTATTTTAGGGTTACGTTAGATTAAGACAATTTCTGGGCTGAACGCTGCGGTTAGGACAGGTTAGAGGGCTGAGCGCCGCGGCTAGGATAGAATTATTATTTATTAAAAGTTTTTGCCGTTGGGTTGAGAACTATTGAAAAATTATAGAAAATATAAACTAATGAAAATGTCATAAAGAAACGTTAAACAATTATAATGTTATAGACCGGGCCAGCCACCAGTAGAGCGCAGATTACCAACAGATACTGTTCTACCAGATTCTAAAGATGCCCGGGGAATAAAACTCTCATTAGATTCGATGCAAAGATTACATAAACTGATTGAGGCACAAAAAAATTTCCTCAAATTTTATGAAATGCGGGAAAAAGTTGATGATCGTCGGAGGCAGGCTCTGAAGGAGGGTATCTCCCACTTTCCCAGCATTTCGGAGGCACAAGTAACATGTAGAAGTCGAAGTAAGGTGCAGGAAGAAGTAATCCCTCCGGTGGTTTCCGGGTCTCCAGATTCCTCAGAAAAAGAGAATTCTATCAACTATGTTACCTCATCAAAATCTAGAAAATTTGCCAAACTTTCAGAGTCAGAGAGCTCAGGATTAAAGCGGAAGAAGGTCGACGAAGAACCGGAAGTGCCGGAGAAATTCTCCAAGGTTGACAAAATCGTTCTCACAGAATCCCAGGACAGGGTGGACGGAGTAACTCAAACTGAACCCGGAGTACAGATTACACTCACCACCCGGAGAAGAGTTGTTGCCAAGTTAAACCCTGAACCTCAGAATCGTGAGACCAGAGCAGTGAGTAATAAACCCTGGAGAAGCAATATGAAACCACCGACATCCAATGATAAACCTGAACCTGAGAAACCTCCTGAGCCGAAGAAACCCGAGAAACCCTGGCGTGTGAACATGAAACCTAATGATACAGGGATACAGGCTTCCGTCCAGGTTGTGGAGAAGCAAGAAAAAACCGAACGCGTCCGAGCCTGGAGAACAAACATGAAAACAACTGTATCCAAACCCCAACCTGAAGAAACACGAAAAAAAATTCACTATGACCGAGAATCTGTGAGGAAATTTATGAAAGAAAAGAAGAGAAAAGAAAAGGAAGAAAAGGAGGAACTGGCAAGAAGAGAAGTGGTTAGACAAGAAGTAATAAAACAAAGATTAGAAGAACTGGAGAAATTGAGAAAACAAATTGCGGAAACAGAATTCTCCCAGGAACGAGAAAATCCTGAAGAAGGAAGAGAAGAAAATGGGATTAGTAATGATGGACGGGAAAAGGATGAGAATGGAAAGGAAGGTCTGGATAGGGAAGGAGAAGAGAAGTTAAGACAAATGCTGTTAGATTTAACAAATGAGATGAAAGATAAGTGGAAAATAAAACAGGACCCTTCCAGGTAAGAATTTAAAGAATTTTAATAAAAAGTAATATAAAATAAAAATGAGGTTTGTTTTTCTCGTGGAGGCAAGAGCGTATACAGGGGGGCAGTGTCCCCCTTAGACCTGTGAAAGGGGGCGTAGCCCCCACCCTTCCTAGAACTCAGAGCAATCAAACTTTTCAAATCTTAAACTGAAAAGTGAAGACTGAAGAACAGGACAAAAATAGTAGTTAAGTTTGAGGGGAATCACCCACCACAAAAATATACATATTATTGCACTTTTGTAACCTAATTTTCCCTTTTAAGTTCACAGAGTTTTGTTTAAAGGAGAGATAAAGTAGTACATAAGGAAGCAATTGCTAGGGGATTGGACTGTAAGTGTACCTTTAAAATATCTTATACATGTGTGACTTTTGCCTGATATCCAAGAAGCTAAATGTTCTGAATTTACAGTTCAAACTTTGCCCCCACCCCTCCTAGGAGCTCCTAGGGGGGGGGGGGGGCAATGTAAAGAATTTCAAAAAGTAAAAATACAATATAAAGAATTGATACAAATAACAGAAAATTTCGTAAAATTAACCATAAATTAACCCATAAAAAATTATGCCTGATCGTCTAGAAGCTAAATATTTTGAATTTACAGTTCCAATTTTGCCCCCCTAGATTTAATTCTGTATACGCCCTTGCGTGGAGGTCGTATTTTTTTTTCTCTGCCAAGGTGAACTCTTAAAGTTGAAAACTTGGATAAAATTATAAAATTCTAGAGTCTATTCGACAGTTGAGTTAGAAGAAGATAAAGGGGTAGCACCTGGTTCAGATCCTCAACTTTCCAGGTCTTCTGATTTGATGGTTAAAAATATTCATAAAAACAAGACTTCTAGGACGCCGCTTTTATTAGGTTCAATCATTCGTACATTTTAAAACAAAAATTAGCGTATAGTATCAAAATAATGTTTTGAGCAGTAGGCGTGAGACGGGGGGGATTCTTTAGATAATATATATCTGATTTAAATCTAAAAGGAATGCAAACAAAAGAGTTAAAATATTTCTAACAATATTTATGAAAAGAAACCTTATTGAAAAACCTCTTATTTTAAATAAAATACCTTTCATTTGAAATATTTTAAGATTTAAACTTTTTGTAATAAAACAAGTTTCAAGCTGAAAAGATAGGATGATGTCAAACATGTTAAGTTTTTTTTTTAATATTTACCTGACCTTCACTAGGTTTCTGTATTTTAAACATCCTTGCATGGTTTCTCATATTTTGCGTGTATTTTATTTGTAATAAACTTGAATATTTTAGATTGAGCTCCAGTCTTAGTGATGCCTCTGATGCTACGGAGCTTAAATCTCTCCCAGAGAGCAAATCTCCGTCGAGAAGTAAATCTCCGACAAGATCAGTTGATCGGGATGTATTCTCTGGAGAAAAGACGAATCACAGCTCAGGATCTCGGAGTCGGGACGTATTCTCCGGAGAAAAGGCGAATCACAGCTCAGGATCTCGGAGTCGGGACGGATTCTCCAGAGTAGATATTAATCTGAGGTCCAGGTCTGAAGGAGGAAAAATGCATCAGAGCTCTGGTTCCAAGAGTCGGGACGTACTCTGCGGAGAAGAGATACAACACTACTCCGATGCATCTCGCTCAAGAGTAGGACTTGTTGATGAGATCCCGGAGAGAGATACATCTGGGGATAGCTTGAACGGAGCTAAGCATTCTATTCAAGTTCCTCTGAATGTTACCTCCCAGGGGACAACCTACTCGGAGTTTAAAAAATCTAATTTCACTAGGAATATTTCAGTAAACTTAGATTCAACTAAAATCCGCAGTTTTAGTAGTCAAGCAAAAAGTGGCAAAATTTCTTCTTCAAATAAGAAGATTGATAAAAAACAGGAAGAATGTCGAATTGAAGAAGATATAAAAATAGAAAAAATGAAGGAACGAGAGAAAGTTGAGAATAAAAAGAAAAGAGAAAGAAGGACCAACAGGGACGAAAATGAAGATGGTCATAAAAACAAAACTTACGGGGAGGAATTTGGAGAATCTTCGTTGAGGGAAAAATCCCCTACAAGCGCTTCAAACCAAGTATTTGGAGAGTTCATTCCCAGGTTTCCGGACATTCTATCTAGAGGTAACTTTTAGTCAGTTTTGGTCAGTTTTAGTAAGTTTTAGTAAGTTTTAGTAATTTTAAGTAAGTTTTAGTAAGTTTTAGTAAGTTTTAGTATGTTTTAGTAAGTTTTAGTAAGTTTTAGTAAGTTTTAGTAAGTTTTTTAGTAACTTCTTTTAGTAACTTCTATTACCAAATTCTTTTACTTCTTTTACTAACTTCTTTTACTAACTTCTTTTACTAACTTCTTTTACTAACTTCTTTTACTAACTTCTTTTACTAACTTCTTTTACTAACTTCTTTTACTAACTTTTTTTTAGTATAACTTCTTATAGTAACTTCTTTAAGTAACTTCTTTAAGTAGTAACTTCTTTTTGTAACTTCTTTTAGTAACTTCTTTTAGCAACTTCTTTTATCAACTTCTTTTAGTAACTTCTTTTGTAACTTCTTTTTGTAACTTCTTTTTGTAACTCCTTTTTGTAACTCCTTTTTGTAACCTTTTTTTAGTAACTTGTTTTTAGTAACTTCTTTTATTAGTTTCTTTTAGTAACTTCTTTTAGTATCTTATTCAGTAACTTTTTCTAGTAACTTTTTTAGTAACTTTTTTAGTAACTTTTGTTAGTAACTTCTCTTAGTAACTTCTTTTAGTAACTACTTTTTTGTAACTTTATTTTTGTAATTTATAGCAACTTTTATTAACTTTCAGTACTTTTAGCGAGTATTAGTACTCTGTTTTTAACTTAATTTCTTATTTTTAATTTCAAAAATGGTAATAGTGAATTTGTTTCGATGAAAAAAGATGAATAATGTTAAAGAGTTTCAAGTTATCTAAAAGCGTAAAAAAGCAAGAAAAAGTCTGATGTTTTCCTACCGTTTTACTACTCTTTTATTATCTATTTGCAAACAAATTAGAATTTTTTAAAAAAGTTTTTTAAATACAGAGGGACTCATAAAACTGTGGAATAGGAAGAAAATATTTAAGCAATCTTGTGTGCATTTGATGTTATAAAGAAAATAGTTCCAGTAGCTTAAAAATCAACTTATTAAATGGGTCTGTGCACACTGCACAATTACTGCATTTTATGTTCATTGAGTCAAAAGTTGTCTTCCTATTCCATAGTTTTATGTGTCCTACTGTCTATTTAAGTCTTTTTTATATATATAAATTTGTTGCTAGGCCCCCGACTAGACCAAGTCTTGAATAAAACTGTATCAAGAGATGTTGACCCGCGTAGCTTGATAAAACCGGTTCCTGGAGGAGTTGACCCGCCTAGCAGGTCGCAGAGTCAAGATACGCTAGATAGTGAGAAACCACCACAATGGATTGAAGTAACCATGGTTAGTACAGTCACTCCTCACTCACTATAATCACTCACAATCACTCAATCACTCAGATTTTTCAATTAATCAAAACCTTGCCAATTTATCATTTTTATTTTTTCTCAGGACTCCTCCGGAACAGAGTTTGGCGATCTACCCGGAGAAACCTCTAATTATCGTCCTTCAAGTCAAGATTTCAAACCTGGACGGACGAAACCGGATTCCGGAGATCCAACCATGAATATGTCCGTATCGGAGGGACCACTTTCTCCAGATTCTTCCGGTTGCTCCGAACCCCCATCACAGAAGAGATATTTTAATTCTTCCAAACGGCAGGGTTCAACGCAAAGCCAAGTATCTCAGTCCTCTCTGGTGCCCAGAAAGGTAAATCCGCCTTTTGAAAAAAAATCACAAGTTTTTTACTGATTTTTTTTTTTTAAAGAATATGGACCGGACGAGTGAAACTGGTTTGACCGGTACGTATGAGACGAACCTGCAGGATACAACGGACTCAGCCAGCACTATGAAGGACGTATTGGAGCACTTAAACCTGGAGTCTGGAGTCAATTCTACAACTACTAGGTACATATTTAAAATAGCTTTAGTTTAGACTGTAAGCGTAATTACTAGTGACCCTCCGTGCCCGATTCACAAAGGTACTTTATAGTCTGATATTTTCTCCATTACTTCTTAAAAGCAAGAAATGAGAGAGTCACTTTTACAGATAAACCGCAATAAATATTAAACAGTTTAAAGAAACAAATACATGGATATTATCTAATTTATACTTGGTCAATTAAGTACCGTTGTTGATCCGTTGTTATTTTGGCAATGCCATCTTAGCATGGAGGAAAAATTAATCTTAATTTATTCATCAGATTAAATCATTAATTATTGATATTAAAAGGACTGTCGTCATAATTTCAAGTATTGAGGTATTCTTTAAACCTTTACCTTGACAATAATATAGAAGGTATCGTAGTCAAACAACCTGACATAACTTCGGAAAATTTCCTCCATTTTTTCTGAAGCAGAAAAGAGCAAGTCTCTTTATACAGAAACCAAATTGAAACTAATCAATTTTTTTAAAGAAGATTATGGACATCTCATGCATTATTGATCAGACAAAGAGACAACCCACTCTAAGAGGGTCTCTTAAAACCATGATTACAGTCTCTTTCAGTCAGATTTTCCTCTAAAAATTATCATTAAATTATTAATATTAATTCGAATTTGAAATAAATATATTCAAAGAAATTTTATTGAAGGAGTAGCGCGCACAATGCAACAGAACCAGGGAGTAAATCCATGAAAAACAACCTTCCTCTTCTCCATCCTGACTCCGTACCCAACCTTCTCCATCTCCGATTCCTCACGGAGCTCAACCAACTAGAATCCGTCACAGCTACGGAGAAACTCTTGTCAGAACTCGAGCAAATAAGGAAATCCACCTTTGAGAACCAGCAAAACCTTGCTGAGGTTGAGAACCTTGTCAAGGATCAGCAGCTACGGACTAGGGACGGAGAAAGGAAGGATGAGATGGAGAAGTCCAGATATAAACTGCAGGAAATGTACTCGGAGAAGTTGAAACAGCTCCTGGACTCACAAACCGAGGCAACCCTGGCCACCAGCGCTGTTGCCATACAGTTGGGAGATCTCAAAGAGAACTCTAAACAGACGGAACTTATTAAAACCTTGAACAAACTTCAGCAAACCATTGAAAACTTGAACCAGAAAGAGGCTAGCTCCAATAATAGATCTAGTACAAGGTCTACCCCTGTAGCTGAGACAGGATCTTCATCAACTAGATCAAAGAAAGGATCAACAAGAACAGAGACGGATTCTTCTACCACGAAATTTTGCTCAAAGTCGGTAAAGACCAGATCTGTGAGCATCCAACCTGATATCTCAGACAGAGATATTCCAGATAGTCGAACCATTTCCTCTGCAATCATCATAGAGGCATCATCACTGAGTTCTCGTCCCAGCTCCAGTGTTCGAGAGGTCCTGGAGCAGAATCAGTTTCATGGAGAATCCATCTCACAGACTATATCGGAAGCTATAGCCTCTATATCAGATGGTGAGCAGAGGACTAGATCTAATATAACGGCAGAGGTTGAAGAAGAATTATCCACTGATTACTCCAGTCAGTTTGAGGAAGATTCGACACTTCGAGAGAAATCATTCCGCGCAGTTCTACCCTCAGAAACTCATCGGAGACGATCGGAAAAGTTCTCCAGTAAACCGGAGTATTCAAGCGATGCATCGGAGAGCTCTGGTGGAGGCTCTAAGAGGTCGGAGAGAGGGTTGGAGAAGGGGACGAGAGAAAACTCATCCCTGTTCTCTGATTCTGACTCATTTACAAGGTTCACATTGGAGATGGTTGAGCAGTATATGATGGAGGAGACAGCTAGAGATAAACACAAAGAAGCTATTCTCAGGTATCAAAAATGATTGTAAAAAAGTAGTAGGAGTATGGGGGAGGGGTTGGATAAGTGGAAGCGGAGTCGGGTAGTTGGAGCACCATATTTATTTATTTATTTATTTAAAGCAAACTGCTGGGGTTATTCTGGACCCCAGGCAAGTTACACCTATCAGTACTTCCCTTAAACGATATGTGTGCAACCATGCCTGGGGTTGTCTGTTGTTAATCGCCTAGAGCATGTTCTATTATTGAACCCTGGATGTAAGCGCACCGGGTGAAGGGATTCCGGGAACCTGAGTAAACCGTAGCCTAGGTTGAAATCCGCCAACCCACCCACCCCCTCTGAGGACACAAGCCCAGTGGTCAGGATGGTTTATTTCTTTGTAAAATCGTCAATGGAGGGGAATGGGGAGAAATGAAATGGAGGGGTAATGGGTATAAAGAAGAAGAGTGAAGGGGGGGGGGGATTGACGGATTAGGAGGAATAGAAGGTGGGTTGTGAGGGGGGGGGGGTATAGGATTAATTTAATGTTTTTGAAATCAAAACCTTTTAAAGAAAGTATATTTTTCATTTTATTTTGTTTTTAATGTTCTTTTATAAAAATATAAAACAATAAAAGCCAAAAATGTAAAAGGGATAGGTATCATGATATGTCAGATTCATTCTGCCAGTTATTTTTTCTCTCCATTTTTAATGGAATCATCCCATTAAAACTTAATGTTTGTTTCTTTTCTGGCAACCTGAGGTCTTAGATCTTAAATACTTTGAACCAAGAAAGGAATAGAGTCTTATCCACAAACTCTGACTTTCCAAGACCTATATCTTTGCAACCCAATGTCGTAGACCTTAGATATTTCAAACTATGAATTCGGTTGGATCAAATAATATTTATCTAAGTTTAATATATTTAATATAGCATCAGGTTGCAAAGATATTTGGATTGCAACATTTTAGTTTGTGACAAAGGCTCAATTGCTTTACTAAATCAAATTTTAATGGTTTACATCAGAAAATAGGGATTCGAAAATTAGAGTTTGATGCGAGTAAATAGTTCCAATTTCCCAAGTATTTTTTTTTGCCAAGAGGCAAGTTCCCAAATGTTTAATTTTACAAGTGGAACTACCAAAAAATTCCTTTATCTCACCTAAACTGACATTTGAGATAATTTCCCTTTTAAACCTCAAATATATGTTGAGAAGCTTTACTGAAGGTTTTCTGAAGCTGAATAATGACTTTGTGGAACCCAATTTGGAAAAATGTTTGTGTTTTCTGGGGTAAAAGTATAAATATAGACAAACAAACGCCTAGTTTAGTGTCCGATTATAACTTTTTTCTTTTGTCAGGTTGAAGGAGAAGGCTCTGGTTGAAAAAGCTGCTGAGCAAGTAGCTGCCCTGGAGAAGCTGAAATCCAGCATCCCGAAGTCAGATGATGACAAGATGCCAAAAATCAAGAAAAGACAAAGATCTATTTTGCTCAAACTTAAGGAACAAAAGAAGGAAATGGCACGAATGAGGGAGATCTTAAAAATTGCGGAAACTGAGCGGAGATTTTTAATCCGACAACAAAAGTCCATTATAAGAAAGTCCCATTCAAGTCCAGACAATAAACCGGAGTTAGATCTATCAGAGAATTCTCTGGAATTTTCAAAACTCTGGCAGAAGGACGGAATGAGCGGAGAGGATGAAGCTATAATAAAGAAAAAGGAAGTTATTGTCGGTCTCAAGAAAATGGAAGAGTTAGGAAGGTTTATGACCTCCAAGGAGAAACAATTACTAAAAAAATCCGGGGCCAGCTCTAGTAAATTAGATAAACATACTGGCGACATTGATCTAGCAAATACATCAACTGAATCCGTCCTGGTAGAATCCAATTTAGCTCCGGGACTAATAAATCGGGATTCTCTGCCTATGTCTCCGAGTAGGGGTTTAAGATTACGTCATTCAAGCGCAGATTCTGAAGCAGATGTTCTAACCAGCTCACTGATAGATACAACATCGGAACAGAGTGATATTGAAGCTAGGATTGCTGCTCTCAATGACCAACTCCAGACTAGGATTAAAACAGCAGCAAGGTTGAAGAAAGAGCAGCGTCGGGAGAAGAGAGAAAAGTTAAAAACTCAGGAGCAAACAATACTTCGACAAATTGAGGTTTATGATAAACTGATCAGCCAGGATATATCGGATATAACCGTAGATAAACAGGAACAGATGGACAGGTTTTCCAAACCTATGATTAAATCACCCCGGAGCAAGCTCTCCAGAAGGTTGTCTGGAGCTAAACCCGAGAACCCGGAGAACAAGACTGAGAATCCCTCCAACAAACTAGAACTATCTGGGAGCCGAAATGAATCTCCATCCTCACTTCAGACCAGCGAATTTCCGTCCTACTCTCAAGAAGATCTGTCAAAGGGTTCCAACTCTAGTCAGAAAACGAACGACTTAAGCACTTCAACTATCCTTGCTAGTCCAGTTAAAGAAGTTTCTCTAGATTTATATTCGGTTCAAGAAAAAGAGTCCAACCTTTCCGTGTCGGAGGTCATAGAAGAGGCGTTGGAATCTCTTTCCAACCTAGAGAGTTCGATAGAGAAACCATCAGATCCAATCTCAGATAACCTTGACTCTGGAGAGGAGAGTGTTACATCTCAAACCTTAACCCAAAAGGAAGATAACTCTCGGAGTAAAATATCAACTAAAGAATCTGAGACTAAAACTTCAAACAAGAAAGATGAAGAGGAAAAGAGTTCAATCTCAGAAACTGGAATAGATCTTGAGGACTCATCCGAGAGTTTAGAACCTCCAGCTGAAAAAGTGATTCAAGAAGTTGAAGATCTTTCTCCTATAGATGATCTTATGTTGCGAAATGAACAGACTGCAAGAGAAGTGGATGTTTCTGGAAAAGATAAAACTAAAAAGATTGAGAACAGAAATAAGCTTCTAGGTGAGAAGTCGGAGAAAACAATTTTGTCGCAGATTCAGACAGATCCTGACTTGTTAGATTCCAAGACGGATATTTTTACTGCTCACATCTGGCAGGAGTTGTTAAAAGAAACTTCTCTCCAGGTCTCTCCTTTAGTACAGAGGAGAAACAAAACCCAAATACAGGGGTTGAAGGATGACTTGTCAATTCCTTCTCACTCTAATGAGATAAAAAGCATCATAGAACCTACTTCTCCGACCAGTCCGTCTAAACAACGACCCCTAAGTCCTATTTCTCCCAGATCTAAACCACAGGATCTCATGCTCACTACTTTTGATATTAGTCCTGGCAGTTCGGAAGAGAACACTCCTGAAAATGAGGAGGAAGAAGAGATATTCCATGAGGAGAGTGAACCGGAGAAAATAAATGATGATGAATTTTTCGAGGATGATTTTGGGCTGTCCGCTATTAGGGAGAAGGCGGAGGCTCTCCGCCTGCAGCAGCTCAAGGTTGAGCAGGAGATTGCTCTGATACAGAGCCAGGAATCTGAGCCGGATATTGTCAGGAAAATTCCAGATAAACCTCCGCCGCCATACGTTCCTCCAGCGCAACCTGCCAAACCTACGCCTCCGAGATCTTTCATTCCATCCTCGGTTTCTGATTATTCCGCCATGGTCACTTCACTAGTAAATAAGGTGTTCTCCGCCAGGGCAAATGACTGTCTGGCAGATCTGCACCTGGATACAGATGATTATCCTGAACCTGAGAATCTTTCTGAACCCGAATCCAGTGCACTCCGTCAGTATAATACTATGCTACTGGAGCTGGTTGTTCAGAAGGTTGAGAAGATCTATGAAAATGAGAACCTGGAGCAAAACCCGCCCTGGATGCCAGCTAAACCTATTCAGAGGCTCAAGTTTCAGATTCCTAAATCAAAGGAAAGATTGGAAGAGATGGTGAAAAAACAGGTTAACAATTTATTTACATTATTATTAGTAATGTTTATCATCATAATATTTGTTGAAAGTTATCCTATCAAATTTTTTATCTTTTTATCATCCAGTTTGAAATTTATGTGAATTTAGGGTTAAAAGAAAAAAACGAATATTTTCAAAATAAAATAATCATATGATAAAATAATTTTTTCATTTTTCTTTACATTCACATTGACTTTAAGTTCATTATATTTTAGTTTTGAATCTTGAATTTTTTCAAATTTATCAGAAAAGTTAGTTTCTCACTGGTAGGCTTAAAGTGAAAACGTGAACGAGATTTAAGTAAGTTAAGATGAATGTATTTGTCAGGTGTTGTCTGATCTCCGTCTAGGACCTAGGGTAGAGAAGGAGAGTATCATGGTTAGGTGGGCCGGAAAGAAGAGGGATAGGGTGGACGAGATACTCGTCAGGGAGCTACAGGTAATCTGTTGTCGTGGTTTTAACAAAATAAAAGGGACCAGCACCGTATTTTGGAAAAACTAAAAGGGTATTTCAGCTTGATTTTAACAAACGTAAATTAACTACCAACGTGAGTTTATCCAACTTACAAGGCCTGTCAGCGTGATTTTACAAACTGAAAGGGCCTGTCAGTGTGATTTTACAAACTTTAAGGGCCTGTCAGCGAGATTTTACCAACTTAAAGGGTCTGTCAGTGTGATTTTACCAACTTAAAGGGCCTGTCAGCGAGATTTTACAAACTTAAAGGGTCTGTCAGTTTGATTTTACAAACTTAAAGGGTCTGTCAGTGTGATTTTACAAACTTAAAGGGTCTGTCAGTGTGATTTTACAAACTTAAAGGGCCTGTCAGCGAGATTTTGCACACTTAAAGGGTCTGTCAGTGTGATTTTACAAACTGAAAGGGCCTGTCAGCGTGATTTAACAAACTTAAAGGTTCTGTCAGCGTGATTTAACAAACTTAAAGGGTCTGTCAGTGTGATTTTACAAACTTAAAGGGCCTGTCAGTGTGATTTTACAAACTTAAAGGGTCTGTCAGCGAGATTTTACAAACTTAAAGGGTCTGTCAGTGAGATTTTACAAACTTAAAGGGTCCGTCAGTGAGATTTTACAAACTTAAAGGGCCTGTCAACCTGATTTAACAAACTTAAAGGGCCTGTCAGCGTGATTTAACAAACTTAAAGGGTCTGTTAGTGTGATTTTTCAAATTTAAAGGGCCTGTCAGTGTGAGTTTACAAACTTAAAGGGTCTTGTCAGCGTAATTTTACAAACGGAAAGGACCTGTCAGTTTGATTTTATCAAACTTGAAGGAACTATTTATTTGATCTATAATGTCACTTTTATAGAGAAACCACAATTGAAAATTGCCAATATTTAAAAGAGAAATAATGGAGATATCATTCATTTTTTTTATCAGGCAAAGTTTTTAATAGCATCGTTGTAAATAGAACATGTCACTCTAATGATATTGTAGGAGGAAGAGGAGGTTTGGACAGATTTCTCCAGAGACGAGGTAGAAGTTAAAGATCAGCTCACGGACGCTTTTCTTCAAGAGCTCATAGATGATACGGTTCAAACCTGCTCCAGGATATACAAGAACAGGGAGAAATAGATGATATGGTTCAAACCTTCTCCAAGATATTTAAGAACGGGAGAAATATCTAATACAGTTAAAACCTTCTCTAGGACATCAATGAACAAGGATAAATAGATTATACAGTTCAAACTTTATCCAAGATATACGAGAACAAGGAGAAATTGATTTTATTATTAAAACCTTCTCGGGGATTTACGAGAACAAGGAGAAATAGATTATATAGTTCAAACCTTCTCCGGGATATACGATAACAAGGAGAAATTGATTTTATAGTTCAAACCTTCTCATGTATACACAAAAATATGTAGAAACAACCTTTATCTTAAGGTTTTTACATCTTTTACATCTCCAAACTAAAGAAAGATCTATGAAAATTTATTTTGTCCATTGTTTTATTTTTGAGATAATATGTCCCATCTACTGTTAATAGCTGTAGTTTTACAGACATTTTATTACTGTTTATAGGCAATTTTTTGGTTTAGTTTTTTAGTTTTTGTTGATTCACTGAAATCTTTATAAATCTGTTGGATACATTGTGTAGTAATGAACTTGCTCTAAAATGACAATTGTGATGCTAGAAATTTTCAATTTCAGAATTACATATGTTGAAGAATGTTATGTACTGTACAGATTGGTGCATTTTACATCTAATAAAACAGGTAAATACTTCTGTATAACCACTTATAAACATATAGTTATTATAAATTAAAAATGTTATATTTAGTAAGAAATTTGTTGTTAGGGAAACCAGAACCTTGTGGAAATTGAATACAAATTTTATGGGATCATTTATTATAGTGCCACAATTTTCTGAGAGGGGTAGGAGTGCGATGATAACTAGAAAACTATGAAATTGGCAATTATTATTACCGATGTCTAAAAATGTTCAGGGCGACATATCGCTACAACTTAAAGAAAGACGACCTAAATCATTCTACAGTTTTTCGATACTAAGTTACACACTTAGATCCAGATTGCTATTAAAAGTTGCATCAGTTTTTAAGACCGCATCGCCTTGGCCTCAATAACTCTATATTATTTTGTAGTCCTCAACATTTACAGAACTTGTTTTTTTTAATAAATTAATAAATGTGTAGATCTGAAGAATAATTAATAAATGCGTAGATCTGAAGAGTAATTGATATATGTGTAGATCTGAAGAATAATTAATAAATATGTAGATCTGAAGAATAAAATAATTGATAAATGTGTAGATCTGAAGAATAATTAATAAATGTGTAGATCTGAAGAATGATTGATAAATGTGTAGATCTGAAGAATAATTAATAAATGTGTAGATCTGAAGAATAATTGATAAATGTGAAGATATGAAGAATAAAATATTTAATAAATGTGAAGATCTGAATTATGTGTGGGCGGACAGCTTGCACTCTATCCCCTTCAAACATCAAGAGAGCTTGTGCATATAGGTTAGTCTTTAGTTACATATATCACATTTATCTTTTCTCTAGAGGGACCCATCGAACTGTGGAATGGGAAGACGACTGTTATTATTTGAAATATTCCAGGTTCGTTGGATCCAAGGAACCTGAAACACAGCAACTGTGCATTGCACATCGACCCATTGCACTAAATAAGTTGATTATTTGCTCTATAACAACCTCAAATTCAAAATACACAAAGATTGGTTAAATATCGTCTTTCTATTCCGCATTATTATGAGTTCACTGTATTTTTTCTATTTTTTCTGCCTGTTTTTCTTTTACCTGTCCAATGTCATTTTGCTTGGGTGTAAGCATGTCAAGATGTATCTCCATATATTGTCCTAAAGACGCAACAAGTTTTAAAATTCGGTGATGGTGATGGACCAAACCTCTGTAGAGTAAAAAAAGTAGATGTTAGTTCTACATTTATTGAAAATATATTTCGGTCTAGGTTGACCCTCGTCATTTCTAACGATATGATAACCATCAAACTCGATTTAAAAAAATTTGTTAAAAACCACAAGAAAATAAACAAACAAAAAAGATTATTAAAAAAAATGGGTTGTCAAGTCTTGGGATTTATAATGTAATAAATTAACGTATTTTGTACTACTTTTTAAGAAGTTTAAAAAAGTAAGTTTTTAATATAAATTTAATTCTCTACCTAAATAACTATTGCAAAGAAACAAATTTTGAAATCTATGTAAGAAATATAAAACATTCTTTTTCACTCTTAGTTTTCATTTTAAAACTAAGAGTTTCGAGGTCTCAGTCATGCTGATAATTTAGCATAAAGATGTCTACATTTGAGTGCCTGCCCACATTTTATTCAGTTTCTGCATAATTAGGTGTCTGACTAGATATAGTCATTGTTTATATTATTATTTATCTATGTAGATTATCTCATTGTTTACATTCAATTTTTTCTATTTTTATACATATTACATAATTGCCTGGAGTTTCCCCTATACAAATCAACCAATTCAGCTTAGAATTTTTAAACCAGGCAAAGAATGTATAAAACAGACTGACAAACAGAGATTACTGCATGATCACCGTGCGTTTTCATTATTAGTGTATTCTCATTAGCGCTTCATAATTCTTGTGTCCAGCCAGTGTTTAGAAATGTTTTTCATTTAGAATAATAATTAAACTGTTCAGGGGGAAAAAGAATATTACAGCCTATGCTCTGGGGATTAGTGCCTCCATGGTTTTCTGGAACCAATCCTAAGGTGATGTTGATGTTGATGTTGATGTTGATGTTGATATTAATGGTGATGTTGATGTTGATGATGTTTTACATCTAATAAAACNGTATTGTATAGCTATGCATGTACTGTACTATACCCCAAAGTTATGTTAAATTTTGTATGTATTGTATAGCTATGCATGTACTGTACTATACCCCAAAGTTATGTTAAATTTTGTATGTATTGTATAGCTATGCATGTACTGTACTATACCCCAAAGTTATGTTAAATTTTGTATGTATTGTATAGCTATGCATGTACTGTACTATACCCCAAAGTTATGTTAAATTTTGTATGTATTGTATAGCTATGCATGTACTGTACTATACCCCAAAGTTATGTTAAATTTTGTATGTATTGTATAGCTATGCATGTACTGTACTATACCCCAAAAATCTAAACCGTTTTGAGGAGCTGTGCGAAAGCACAGTTTTGTATTGTACTATAGTTTTATTGTACTGTACTTTACCCTAGGAATCTAAGCTGTACAAAGGAGCTGTACAACGGCGTTGTATTGTACTGTGTGATGGATTCTATGAATGGCAGAGAGCGGATAAAATCAAACAACCATATTTGGTTTATGCAAGGTTAGGAACTCGTTCAAATTATTACTGTAAAGTGACTGTAAGCGTATTTTCAAGTGATCCTCCATGCAAAGATGACAAAGTCCGTTTTACAACATTACCCTTGAAACCTTAATCTGATCAAAAATGTGGAAGACTCCAGATAATTTCTCCATTGTTTCTCATAAGCAAGAAATGATCAAGTCACTTTCACAGAGAACCTGCAAATGAAAATAAACAGTTCAAAGTAACAAACTTCTGGATATCTAGTTCATACTTGATCAAACAAAGGTTTTAAAGGTGCCGTTGTTTAAGTGTGGGAGAAGAACCTTGGATTTTTATTTGATTATATCTTTCTAGACAGAAGGATCATGATATTGAAGATGTTTTAAAATATTCTGAAGATCCAGACGATCCAAAAAACGAGGTGAATTATATTTTAATATTAAAGTCATGTCCGATTCACAACGGTATCCTTTATAGTTTATACCTTTATTTTCGTGATTAATTTATTATCCACCTTGGAGTTATTTATTGTCTCTGCTCAGTTCCACAGAGAAACAAAAATATTAAAATTAACTTTTAGTAATCTGTATTGTCCTGAACGGCTGAAGATGGCAGGACTGTACTCAGTGTTAAGAGGACAGGACGGTACACCAGTGTACAACTATATTATTGTGTATAGACATATAGAGAGTGTAGAATGCTATGATTAGTCCTGAACTTCTGAAGATGGCGGGACTTTATTCAGTGTGGACAGGACAGGACGGTACATGCAGTGTTCAACTTTATATTATTGTGTATGGAAATTTTGGAATGGTCCTGAACTGCTCAGATCAGGGGCGGACACAGGATTTAAGTGAGGGGGGTACGGGATTTATTTATGAACAAAAAAATCCTGATTTAGGAACAAAAAGACGTGGTGCAGACGCGAATTTTTTTTTGAGATAGATATTTTTCCTGTTTTGCACTAGGTTTTCTTTTCCTTAAGTGCTATTGAGGAGCTATTCTGAAATCTCAGGAGGGGCTAAGCCCACCCCCTGAATCCCAAGGGGGGTGCTAAGGTATTGCCGCCCCCCCCTGTATCCGCCCCTGCTCAAGATGGCTGGACCGTACTTTGTGTGGAGAGGACAACACGGTACACCAGTGTATACTGTACAACTATATTATTGTGTATAGAGAGAGTGTAGAATGCTTGGATGGTTATGAACAGCTGAAGATGGCTGTACAGTCTTTGGTCTGTAGAAGACAGGACGGTACACCAGTGTACAACTACATATTATTGTGTGCAGAAAGCGTGGAATGGTCCTGAACTGCTCAAGATGGCTGGACTGTACTCGGTGTGGAGAGGGCAGGACGGTACACCAGTGTACAACTACACTATTCTTACCAGGGAGTCTAATTCAGGTTAATATTAGGATCGATCAATAACTACTGTGCAATCACAAAATGAAATGATTGGCTTCTTTGTTCTTTCAGAAATATGGGAATTGTTTTCACTCCATCGATAATAATGGTTTTAGTTCCATCCTGAGTTTTAGAGAACTAATGTTCAGGAAGACAAGTTTTTACAATATATGTAAAATATACAGAGCGTCCCATATCATATTAGATTATCTCTAATCTTTAACGCCAAAATAAACCCTTAATAATCGAAAAACTTATCATTTTCCGCAAGAAAATTCTTATATGAGCCTTATGTTATTTTTCAAAATGATTCATTCTAATTAAATTTTCTGATTAGTCTCTGAAAATCATAATTTAGACCCGTTCTCGGTCTAATATGATGTGGGACACCCTGCACTAACAGAATGAAAGCTCTTACCATGGTGGCTGAATGATTACTGAAATAAGCAATGTGTATACTGTGTGGTGACCGCCAACTTGTATATATTGTTTGTTTGGGGGCGTTTTATAGATACACCGGGCTGGGGCGGGTTTAAGATTATTAAAATATGATTTTTTAAAATCATTTTCTGTGAACAGTCCCTTTAAGTTCTGTCCTGGTTGCATCACAGGATGCCCTGCTTCCTGAGCCAGCATCAGGCTCAGTTCTGGTTAGATCCGCTTCTTCCGGTACATGAGGTATATATCTATCTATCCATCTATCCATCCATCTATATATCTATCTATCCATCTATATATCTATCCATTTATCTATCTTTCTATCAGTAACTATCTATATATCTATCTATCCATCTATCTATTCATGTATCTATCCATCTATCTATCTTTGTATCAGTATATATCTTTCTATCTACATATATATATTTATATATCTATCTATATATATCTATTCAGGCCCTAGGTCTACTGAAGGTCCCAAGTGAATCGGACCTCTCCTGGCACACTGTTAGGAACCTAACCCAGCAATTAGAAATAGCTTTAATCAAAGTTAAAGACTATTTATTTTAAAGGGGGGGGGGGAGAAATAATCATGCAGTGGAGCCCAAAAAACTGTGAAATATAAAGACGACTGTCAGAATCAAGAGTCTAATTGATAAGAAACACAGTAATTGTGCAGTATAAACATATACATTTCACTTAATAACTTTATATTCAAACTCTTTTCTTCATAAAACCATTAAATGCCATAAAAATTGTTTAAATAACGTCTTCATATCACACAGTTTTAAATGGGTTCCACTTTATTATCACAGTAAAGCCTAGGAACACACAACAATGCTACATTTTCATTTTATTATTTAATTTATTGTCTATTTATGTAAAAATTAAGTGAAGAACACAAGTCGCAACAGTTACCCTAAAACATCCATTGTAAATGCGTAAATGTCAAATTCGTTGACAATCACATTTTAATTGCATTGTTAAAATATGAGTTTTCAATGTAGTATTATTACGTACAGTGTACAGCTTTACTTATTTTGTTGATTGTTAGTAATAATAGTTAAATGAACTACGGTTCAGATATCTAGGTTTTACATCTAAAAATTGAAGATTGAAAACTACTTGAGAAAGTGATTCTAGGACTTCTACAGCACAGGACAGCATTAAAATGTCCTAATTGTCTCATAATGGTTTCAGGGTACTGTTTTCATACTGTTTTCATACTGTTTTATACTGTTTTATTANGGCTTAAATCTTGAAAAACTTAATACAATTTTAAGGGGAACCAACCATATTTGAGCCGCGGTTTAAATTTAGGCCGCCGCTCAAATTCTTTAAATTCGGCCTCCGGATGATAATTCGCGGCTGATATAGGTAACCTCCACAATGTCGGATGTCCGTTGTAATCTTAAATCTTAATTTTCAACTTCTATCAAATTTATCGTTAAAAGATCTATAAATCAATTTCTTTGTTGTTTTAATTATAAAGAAAACCACAAAGATTAAATTATAAATAACGATTCATATAAACTATAATGTCTTTCTTCAGATATAATTTAGTAAAGTCCCTTTGGGTTTGGGGATTGTAGTCTGATTTAATTTGATTTGATCTTGGTTTGGTTTAATTAGTCTAGAGATTGGAAATGTGAAGAATCAGAGCTTTGATCTGCTCAAGAAAGTGGACCCTGTGGAAGAGAAGAAGAAGGAGAACACGAGCAAAGCGAGTCAGACCCTGATGTCGAACTGGTTGAAGAGATCCAACAACTCTCCCTCCTCTCAACCTTTAAAGAAAAAATAGAAAGATGGATAAGTCCAGACATCAAAATTTAACATTAAGCAAGAATTATTGTTTAACAAATTTATGCAACTTTGAATCGAGCATTGCGGGTTTTCATGTCATTTTTTCCACGTTTTTTTAAAAGTTTATTGAACCATTTTTTCAGATGAGAAATGTACCGTGAGAATTATAAAGGAAAAGCTGAGCAACCCTCTCATCCAAACATGCCAGGTTTGCTCAAGTTCTCAAATTTGAGTCTCGAGAAAAATCATGTTCGGACACAGTTAAATAAAGTTAGGACATACTTTAATTATGTTAGGAAGGTTAGGACTTGCTAAGGAAAAGGCTAGTTAAAGCTAGGCCCAATCCAAAATAAGGTTTATTAAGAAAGGACAATGTTGGGTTAAATAAGTAAAAGTTTACTTGAGGACACGTTATGATTTGTTTAGGAAAAATTTGAATTAAATTCTGACATTAAAAGTTATATAAGGTTAGAACAAAGTCCTAGCATATTAGGACGAAGAAAGTTAAGTTAGAACTTCATGAATGCATGGTTGGTTAAGTAAGGACAAGTTGAATAGCCTAGTAGCTATTCATTAGTATTTGTCTTAATTTTAAAAGATAACCATGGCCAGAGAAATAGCCGATTTATTGCATAGAATTCCAGCGTAAAGGTATGATACCTTTGCAAAGACACTATTTAAACAGCCCAATAAAATCTAAAATTATCATATTTCAATGACATTATGTGTCAGCCATTATACAAAAAAAATATGAAAACTTTTGATTTTAGAATTAGCAATAAATGAACACTTTTTTATGTTCAAACATGATTTAAGATGTTCATACAAAGACGACCTTCTCTCTCTTTCAACCCGGTTCTTAGAATTCAACTCGGGAATTCTGGGGGAAGTGGGGAAAATGTATCAATCCCTCAAGTCAAATCATACCTTTGCGCTGTAATTCTGAACGAAAAATTGGCTTTTTCTCCGGACACAGTTATACTAATGAATAGTTAATAGCCTATTTGAATACCTCAAATTACCTAAATAAGTGAACGGTCCCTTTAACGGTGACCCCTTTCTAGAATATAGACCCAAAACCTATTTCTCACTGTAAATTAATCTTCAGGATATACACCTTCAATTCTACGCGGAGTAGGAGGAAACATAGTCTCCAGTTCGCCTAGTTCTCAGCAGTATGCTCTAGTACCCTCCAATACACAGCAGTATGGTCCAGTATCCTCCAATACACAGCAGTATGCTCCAGTATCCTCTAATACACAGCAGTATGCTCCAGTATCCTCCAATACACAGCAGTATGCTCCAGTATCCTCCAATACACAGCAGTATGCTCCAGTATCCTCTAATACTCAGCAGCTTGCTCCAGTATCCTCTAGTACACAACAGTTTGCTCCAGTAGCGTCCAGTATTCAGCAGTATTCCCGTCCTCAACTATACTCCAGTACCCCAAACACTAGACTTTCAAAACCCTCCACAGTTTCTCCCTTCTCTGGTCTTACTCTGGATAACACTGCTCCAGGTACAGCAGGAGCCTGGGGCAGGACGGAAACTCAACTTGGAGCAACACATCTTGGTTTAAGAACAACTCCCGTTCTTAATGGAGAAGCTCATAATCAAACTGGATCACCTAGATTGTTAAACGCTTCTAATGCTGCTCCAGTTCCAAACTCCAGTTCAGTCCAACAAAATCCGTCCCTGAACTTCGGAGTTATAAATCAACCAACTTCAAACCCCGGACCTATACATCATCAAAACTCATCTCAACCTCAACTAATGATAAACTCCACTGATTCCTTGATAGGCACTTCCTCACAAAACTCCTCTCAAGGAAAGCAATCATTAACTTCTTAATCTTTTACTTCAGTTATAATTTCTTGTATCTATTTAAATCACTGATTAGATTTTTACCTTACTCGGCTTTTAGGACGCTTCACGTCCCTAGTAACAGTTTTTGCTTTTAAATCCTGCTTTCCAAGCCACCATGTTTTTGTACAATGTACATTATACCACTGAAAATGTTCTAGTTTGTTCGTTCAAATTGATGGATTTCCATAATACTAAAAAAATCGCATTTCTTTCAAGAAACATGTTTGTTCTAATTTGTATTAAAATGTTGAATGCCAACGTTGAATTATATTATTTGGGTGAATGCTGTGTAATCTGTTCATAATGATTTAATGCTGGCGCAGGACGATCCAGCGGTGTATTGTTCAACAAGGAGATGAGTGTATTAGTGAGAGGACGGGACGGAGAGAAAAAACAAAGATTAAATATTTGTCTTCAAGACAAACCCAATGCTCATAACCATTCCAAGGATATTTATTTACAGGTGAAGGTTCCGAAAATTTTTTTAAAACGTGATGAATTTAAGTTTCTTGTATGTCTTATTATTGTCAAGGAACTGATTACTCGTCAAAAACTCTTAATTTCTTCGACTTGATGTTGTAAACCTTAGCTTTTTCAAATTATTTACCTGTTTTAATCATATTAAGTTTATAGTTTGACATTTCGAATGTCTCTACGACATCAGGTTGCAAAATATTAGGATTTACAGATTAGAGTATGAGAAGATTCATAAGTTCTGTTGAATAAGTGTAGATATTTTATTAAAAAACATCTGATTTTAAATTGATCACTTTTCCAGACTGACGGATTAAGTTAATTCCTGTCTCTGATGGCCCGACCAATTAAATTCCACAAAAAATTTACTCCGGAGTCTAATGTGAGATAAGATACTCAGGGGCGTATTCACGGGGGCTATGGGGGGCTAAGCCCCCCCCCCTGGACCAGTGAAATCTATTGATTTCAGGGGGTTTTCAGGCCCAAACAGGTGCTGAGTCCCCCCCCCCACACCTTGGAAAGATAAACAATTGAAGCCACCCCCCTGGACAAATTCTGAATACGCCCCTTACCGTTGTAGATCTTACAAAAAGGATGTGACTTCTCAGGACTCTTTTTGCTCAAGTTGAAAGGACTGTGGACGTATATTCAAGTGACACCCTATTTAGAATAGAAGGGCATGTCCGATTCACAACGATACCCTTTATCTGTTCAATACCGTAAAATATTTGTTGATTTCTTGCATTAAGAGTAGTAAGTTCTCAAAATTTCGACCATTGTTTCTGCAACAAAAATCCGCAAACGAGTTGTGCAGAAAAACCACAATTTCACACAATCAATTTTGAGCTCAGCATAGCTAAATCATTTATTCTTGACCAGTCAAATGTGAATCGGACTTGTAAATCTATGATTGGAGGGTCACATAAAATTACATCTTTGTTCCATTAAAACCATTATAATACTTGTTTAGGTTACTGATAGTCAAGACCCTCTTCTTTTCTACTCTTTATGCATAACTGAAGAGGATTTCCAGTTCCTAAAATCCAATCAGGGATTACTAGGTAACATAGAAACTAGGGATTACTAGGTAATATAGAAACCAGGGATTATTAGGTAACATAGAAACTTGGGATTACTTGGTAACATTGAAACTTGGGATTACTAGGATATATAGAAACTAGGGATTACTAGGAAACATAGAAACTAGGGATTACTAGGTAACATAGAAACTTGGGATTACTAGGTAGTATAAAAACTAGGGATTACTAGGTAACATAGAAACTAGGGATTACTAGGTAATATAGAAACCAGGGATTATTAGGTAACATAGAAACTTGGGATTACTTGGTAACATTGAAACTTGGGATTACTAGGATATATAGAAACTAGGGATTACTAGGAAACATAGAAACTAGGGATTACTAGGTAACATAGAAACTTGGGATTACTAGGTAGTATAAAAACTAGGGATTACTAGGTAACATAGAAACTAGGGATTACTAGGTAATATAGAAACCAGGGATTATTAGGTAACATAGAAACTTGGGATTACTTGGTAACATTGAAACTTGGGATTACTAGGATATATAGAAACTAGGGATTACTAGGAAACATAGAAACTAGGGATTACTAGGTAACATAGAAACTTGGGATTACTAGGTAGTATAAAAACTAGGGATTACTAGGTAACATAGAAACTAGGGATTACAAGGTAACATAGAAACTTGGGATTACTAGTAAACATAGAAACTAGGGATTACAAGGTAACATAGAAACTTGGGATTACAACATAGAAACTAAGGATTGCTAGGTAACAGAGAAAATAGGGATTACTAGATAACATAGAAACTAGGGATTATTAGGTAACATAGAAAGATCAGTATTTAAATGTTGTTTTTCTTCTTACGGATTTCTTGACATTTTTAGTGGATTTACAAACATATTCAATGATCGGAATTTAGTTGAGGCAAATTTTTTTACTATTTATTTTTACAATTCAATTTTTTTTCATAGGACTAATTTTTAAAAAGAGCAGTGAATTTTTTTCTCTGACTGTTGCATCTTCTTTTTAGCTGATCACACATCTGTTTTCTGTTATTGAGGCACATTTATAAAAGTTCAATCTGCCACAAATAAACAAACAGAAAAAGATCTTCAAATCTTGCTTTCTTTGTTCCTTATATCTATCTATAAATTTGGCTTGTCTGTCTGTTTGTCTGTTTGTTTGTTTTTATTTAATAAACGTCAAAACGGCTGAACCGATCGGGCCCAAATTTTTTGTGGGACATCTAGGGACCCCAGGGAAGGTTTATGAATCATCAAAATTTCAAATATTTGTCTCCATCAAAATTAGATCTTCATTAAATTTTTGAAAATTTTGAAAATCCACGAAATTTTTTGTGAAAATCCGCGAATTATTTTTGTTTTGTTTTACGATGTACATAAAGAGAACATGTTCACAATTAATTTAGAAGATGGGCGCGAAGCGCCCTCTAAGGCTAGTTAATAATATTTTAGTTGATTATTCCTCGTTCCCTGGGATGGTCTGCCAGCTGTTGGAGAAATGTATTGAACACGGGGACTTTTCGTCCCCAGGGTTCATCCTTATCATCAATCTCAATATAGGGATGTTATATGTTACAATTATTTTGAAATGTTTAACCCGTCTTTGTTTTTTTAGAAATAAAAATACTTGTCTCACGCAACTGTTTCTATTTAATTGGGAAAAAGATAATAATTTTAATATTATTTGCCTAAAATTTTGTTGATTATCCAAGTACTGACGGGTTGGGTTTCTCATGGACTTATGAAGCGAAATGCACTAGTCCAGGCGCTGTTTGTGTGCAGTGGGGAGGTGACTTCTGTCACTGGCCTAGACCTCGATGTCTCGATCACACAGTCACACTAGACTTATGTCATAATCGGATATACATTAATTTCCATCCTTTGGTGGTTATTTTTGATGGGGTCTCGGCCTTGATTTCCACGGAATGATGGTTGATCTTTTATTTATTTATTTATTTATGTTCTTAGGCTCTTTGATATAAATAATTAAAAGGTCTAACTTTAGTTTTGTTTTGAACATATTGAACCTTTTCCTGAACAGTTCAACCCAGCCTTGAGTTCACGGAACTGAACATGTTTAAACATCTCTGCCATCTGAACCTTATCATTGTTAAAGCCTCAGACTCACAATTAAAGGTATTTAAGACATTTTTATCAAATTAAAAATAATTAATGAAAACCGGCATGTTTCGATAAAACATTTAAACAAATTTTACTTTGAAAACAACATTTTAAACAGGAACGTTTAATTTTTTCTACATTTTTGTTTTTTCATTTTTAAGATTTTTTAACTGTCGATAAAGGGAATGAATATTTTAAACATGGACACTAGCAAAGAAGACAGTTAACAGGTTTTTATGATGAATGAAAGCGTCATTATTCCAAAATTCAAGACTATGCGATGGGAAGATTTTTTCTTTTCTAATTGTGAATCCCTGTTTTGGACTCTTTAAAATTTGTCTATTTTAGGATTATTTAGTTGAATGTATTCAACAGCTGCAGAATAAAATCAATGTGTCAACTACACAGCTGCAGCAGCTGCAACAGCAGATCTTTCAGCAGCAGAAGCAGTTGGAACAACATTCAGAAGAGCTGACAGCTGCGAGGAGGGAGCAGCAGGAAACCAGCAGCAGCCTGGGACAGAAGCTGCTGAACGATCTGCAGGAGGAGAAGGATCGCTGCTCACAGAAGATCGCAGAGCTTCAATCCAGGTTTCAGCGATTAATTTAATAACATATGTTAGTAATATCATGGCCTCCACCTTCAAAACTCCCCCCTCCCCCCGTATATTTGGAATGTCAGTGCATTGTTAGGGTAGAAATATCAAAAGGGGACATCAGGTTTCAAATCAAGTATTTATAAATGAAAGTAGCCTCAAATATAAAAAATATTCCATTTCTTCTTTTTCCCACATTTTCCTCTTTTACTATATCTTAACTTTACAGTGTTCTTTTTTTTAAATCTTGACTTATCTTGTTCTCGTACTGTTTTTATATTAAATTTATAATCATATATTTTTATATAAACAAATATATATTTAGAAATAAAGGGCTGTTGCCGTAATTTTAAGTTACTCTCCATTTATAAGTATATTTAAGTATATTTAATATTTATGTCAGGGTTGAATCAGAGAGACGAGATATAGAAACCAGGCATAGGAGATCCATAGAACAATTAGAGAACAGGGTGGCCAGCCTTGATGTACAGAATAGAGATCTATTAGAGGTTAGTTAAAGAACAAAGAACAGGGTGGTTACTGGTTAGTCTTGAATATAGATCTATTAGAGGTTAGTTAAAAAAAAGGGTGGTTAGTCTTGAATATAGATCTATTAGAGGTTAGTTAAAGAAAAGGGTGGTGAGCCTTGATGTTCAGAAAAGAGATCTATTAGAGGTTAGATAAAGAAAAGGGTGGTGAGCCTTGATGTTCAGAATAGAGATCTATTAGAGGTTAGATAAAGAACAGGGTGGTGAGCCTAGATGTTCAGAATATAGATCTATTAGAGGTTTGTTAAAGAAAAGGGTGGTGAGCCTTGATGTTCAGAACAGAGATCTGTCATAGGTTAGAGGTTAGTAAAAGAAAAGGTGGTTAGTTTCTATTTTCAAAATTTAAATCTAGAGGAAGTTTTATTATAGCCAAGGGTTGCGCATTGGCTTTGTGTTAAAATTAATTTGAATTTTTGTTTAAAGTTTTGCTTATACTTTTCCCATTAATTCATTTAGTTTCCGTGAAGGTTGAAGCTCCTATACAAAATTTGTGAAATAATGGATTGTTTTTTGTTTTGGAGAAGGGGAGGGGCCCTACTCTTTTTCTCAGCTCTTCAAAAAAAAGATAGTAATATAAACAAACAATAACGAGCGACCAGTCACAGGAATTGAGTCTTTGCCACAAACTCTGATTTTCTAATCCCAATATCTTTATAACCCAATGTCGTAAACCTTAGATAAATTATGAAATAAGTTTATTCCCCTGTCTTTAGGCGAAGTACCGTGGAGAGTCTAGTAACCTTGAGTTAAAGAGAAACCTGGTGACCAGGGAGGAGGAGTTTACCAGGGTTCAGGCAGAACTACAAACCATCACCAGGGACCGGGCACATATAGAGGTAGGACCAGGGTTCAGGCAGAACTACAAACCAATACCAGGGACCGGGCATATATAGAGGTAGGACCAGGGTTCAGGCAGAACTACAAACAATACCAGGGACTGGGCATATATAGAGGTAGGACCAGGGTTCAGGCAGAACTACAAACCAATACCAGGGACGGGGCACATATAGAGGAAGGACCAAGGTTCAGGCAAAATTTCAAACTATCACCAGGGACCGGGCACACATAGAGGCAGGACCAAGGTTCAGGCAGAATTTCAAACTATCACCAGGGACCGGGCACATATAGAGGTAGGACCAGGGTTCAGGCGGAACTACAAACTATCACCAGGGACCGGGCACATATAGAGGTAGGACTAGGATTCAACTAGAACTACAAACCAATACCAGGGACCGGGCATATATAGAGGTAGGACCAGGGTTCAGGCAGGATTTCAAACTATCACCAGGGACCGGGCACATACAGAGGTAGGACTAGGGTTCAGGCAAAACTAAAAGCTATCACCAGGGACCGGGCATATATAGAGGTAGGACTAGGGTTCAGGCAGAACTACAAACAATAACAGGGACTGGGCATATATAGAGGTAGGACCAGGGTTCAGGCAGAACTGCAAACCAATACCAGGGACCGGGCACATATTGAGGTAAGACCAGGGTTCAGGCAGAACTACAAACTATCACCAGGGACCGGGCACATATAGAGGTAGGACCAGGATTCAACTAGAACTACAAACCAATACCAGGGACCGGGCATATATAGAGGTAGGACCAGGGTTCAGGCAGAACTACAAACTATCACCAGGGACCGGGCACATATAGAGGTAGGACCAGGGTTCAGGCAGAACTACAAACCAATACCAGGGACCGGGCACATATAGAGGTAAGACCAGGGTTCAGGCAGAACTACAAACTATCACCAGGGACCGGGCACATATAGAGGTAGGACCAGGATTCAACTAGAACTACAAACCAATACCAGGGACCGGGCATATATAGAGGTAGGACCAGGGTTCAGGCAGAACTACAAACTATCACCAGGGACCGGGCACACATAGAGGAAGGACCAAGGTTCAGGCAGAACCACTAACTTTCACCAGGGACCGGGCACATATAGAGGTAAGACCAGGGTTCAAGTAGAACCACAAACCATCACCAGGGACCGGGCACATATAGAGGTAGGACCAGGGTTCAGGCAGAACTATTAACTTTCACCAGGGACTGGGCATATATAGAGGTAGGACCAGGGTTCAGGCAGAACTACAAACCCATACCAGGGACTGGGCATATATATAGAGGTAGGACCAGGGTTCAAGTAGAACTACATACCATCACCAGGCACCGGGCACAGATAAAGATCTGAGCTGTTTGCATATTTTTAATAAAAATTTATAAATTTCAAAACAGAGCTCAAAACTTTTAAATGATTTAAACAGAACTGGTTTTTCGCTCCAGACTTTAATTTTCTTATTTTTAAGTTTTTGAAACTGATGTCGTAGACTTATTTTTGAAATTACGGGAAGTCCACCAAGCGAAGAAAGGTTAGAGTCCACCAAGTTGTGCTTGAGAAATGTTTTTAAGAAAAGTATGACTGAGCCGTAAGATAAAAATAAAATCAAGTTAAGTTTTTAAGTTCAAAAGTTTTAATCTCTCTTGTTAAGAGTCGGCATCGTGAAGAGTGTAGGAGGAGAGGGGAGCTGGAGAACCGTATCTCCGTCCTGGAGGAGGAGGAGAGGACCAGGGACCAGGAGATCAACAAGACCAGGGACCTCGTGGACAAGATCAAACAGGAGAAGGAGGAGCTAGCGTCACAGCTCCAGGAAAAAGTAAAATATTTTTAATCATGAGGATTTTGTAGAAAGCCCGCGTAGTTAACCAATTCATATAGCCACTCGTTCTGCGTGTATTAAAAAAATTCATGAAAAACCTGATATTGTTCTTTTCCACTTAGATCAGGGGAAATTTTGACGGTTTTGACCTTTAAAGCAGTAATTTTGCTGCAATGCCTTTATTATGATTTAGGATTAGATCTACTCACCTTAAACTCTAATATTCCAATCTCTTTATCTTTACAACTTGAGATGTAAACTTTGACTATTTACGACAAAAGTTTGCTATGATTTGACAATTAGAATTTGAAGAGAGTAATCAGAGCTGAAAACTTTAGATGGTGGATATCGAGATCAATGCTTGATTTCCTCTTTTTCTTAATCTCAAGATAAAAAAATGCATGTACTCCGCTTGTTATAAATCTTCAGATTAATTTACCGATCGGGATTAAGGATATCCCATTTGAAAGTTTCCAGCTTAGTTACAACAGTGAAAATAGAAATAAAATCCTCGGAATTCAAATTGACCCTCCATGCAATGATGGCAATGTCTAATTCACAACGGTACCCTTGGATCCTTTATCTTATAAATTATGGGGAAGATTTTTTTTCTTTTACAGTTTACTAGGTTGAAAAGTGTTCGATTCTGATAATTCCTTTAATTTTCCTGCAGTAGAAGTGCGCAAGTCATTTTAGTATGGAAACCACAGTTGAAAATAATCAGAAAATAATCAGTATAATTATTGATATCTTGTCACGATATCTAGACTGGAACCGTATCCCGGCGTGAATCAGCTGTTCGGAGTGTTACTGAGGAGCTGATGAAAGCAAACCAGATAATTAGGAAGCTTCAGGAGCAGCTTAAACAGGAACAGAATAAGGCCACCCTCAGGGGGAAGATAGCAGCAGAACAGGTAACTGAGAGAATGAAGATCTACAAAATAAAGTTGATTTGGGTTACCCACAAAGAAAAGACGACCTTAAAACCTTTAAATCTAATCTAAGACCAAACATTGAATAAATTCTGTCTCTAAATTCTCATCTTTTGTGGGTAGCCCTGTTTAGTGTACACATATAAGTGTTTGAATTTATTGATCAAAGTAACATAGAATATATACGTTAAATATAGCTTAGATTATGAAAGAAGATTTAAGGTAAGTAACTCATAAATTATCAAGGTTTACAATGTAGAATACATAGATTATGAAGGATTACACAGTATGTAACAGAGTATGAAGGATTAAAGAGTAAATATTTGTAGGAGAAACTGCTGAATGAGAAGGATCAAGAGCTCGGCCAGGTCCGTGAAGAACTCCGCGAAGCTCTCCAAGGAGCAGACGAGCAGAAGAACAAGGGACTGGAGAAGGAGAAGAAGGTTGAGGAATTGATTGAGAAGAATGATCAGCTTGAGAAGATCAACAGATCAAATGAGAATGTGATCAATTGGTTGAATAAACAGTTAGCATCATTCAAAAGTTCAGAGGCTATTGTAGGTAAATATTTTTCCATTTGATGAATTTCAGCTAGGTTGCTTCGATTCAAATACTTTTCTGTAGTTCTGCAGTGTGGTTGTTTACATCTGAAGGATACGGGATCCTGTAGTTCTGCAGTGTGGTTGTTTACATCTGAAGGATACGGGATCCTGTAGTTCTGCAGTGTGGTTGTCGGACTAAGACAAATGTCGGACCAGTAAAAACGTCGGACGGGTACATTTATTAGGAAAATCTTCGGACTTTGGTTGAGTATTGAAAGAAGACCATTGCTATAAGAAATAAATTTAAAATCACTCTTTTATTGGGATAAAAATCAAAGACAACTGAATAAAGTCTCATCCTATGAAGGTAGCACTGTATAGAACAACAGACCATAAAGGTGTTCAGTTCAATTGTCACAAACTCTGATGTTTCAAAATTCCTATATCTGATGCCGATGTCGTAGAACCTTTAATATTTTAACCTATGAAATCTATAAGATCAAACAGTGTTTAAGTCTGAAAGTATCAAAGGTTAATATCATTACCAGGTTGCAAAGATAAAGGGATGAGAATATTTGAGTTAGTGACAAGAACTTAGTTCATTTGGGTAGATTTTTATTAGGCCAGTCGATGAAAGGAAATAACTTTTTTTTAAATCTTAAAATTCAAATTTCTTTTCCCTATTTGTGTGTCCGACATTTGTACTGTACCAAATTCGGTTTTGCTTAAATCATGTGATAATTGTATTAATGCAAATTGTGGAAATTATTTTGATTTTAGCGTCTAGTCGAGTAGGAGGAGCAGGGCGTGGCAAACCAGGTGGAAGGGTTGGTCTGTCTAAGAAAACATCCTCCGAAGAGAACAATGAAAAGTAAGCAATTGTTGGCGTAATTTCATGTGACGTGACCTGTCAATTAATGAGTTACATATCCGCGACACTTCCTGGATCAGGATCGACAAGAATATGCTCTCATAACACTCATCTCATCTTTAACTAATATTAAAATATTAAACATTTCATACTCTCTGAATCGTTCATTGAGTTTGAGTCTAAAAATAAGCAAATAAAAAAGAAAAATTAATATTCGCCGCATGAAATAAATGGATCTAAAGCACTGTTTACAGTGGTACCTTTTGAACTTTTGAGCTAAACTGATTAAGATATCCTCGTTTTTCTTTACAACACTAGAAAATTTTGGATTTTGGTTTTTCTGTTATTTTTAAGTGATTTTCACAATTATGCGACAAAAATAAAATACGAAATTGACGATTTGACCCTGATTGGTACTTCGCAAAGAGTAGAACTGTGCTGGTATGCATCGAGTATGGTGCTAACTCTTCATTGGAAATTACTTCTAATCATATTTCATTTTTCAACTTTTTGAGGATAAAGATTTTTTTAAATATCACTAAAGACAGATTTTTGATTAAAATTTATTTTAAATTTATTGTAATTTTAGTGAACCCATAATCGGATTGGACGCAAAATATTTCGAGCATTCGACTCCAGGAGGTAGTAAAGCCAGGTAAAAAAAAAAAAAATTGTCCAAAATACAATTTGCAAATTTTAGTCATTTTAAATGAATTAGCAAAGCTAAAACAGACACACTTATCATTAAGAAAAATATTTTATGAGAACTTTTTAATTTCAAAATTTCAAACAGCATAGATATAAAAAGAATATCAACAGCTTCTCTGTATTTACTTATACACTTGTAATTTAAACAAAGCTTGTTAAAAATCAAAACTTTTTTAAAAAAGTTGTCTTCATTGTTTTGATATAATCTCCGAAGAGTGTATGAAAATAGAAACTCATTTATAACGAGCGGGGGAAGGCAGGCGGCCTTAAGCCGCTACATTTTATACCCTTCCATGCCACATATTAGCTTTTTTGTCTTCCGGCCATGAACCACAACCGTTCGGTCTTCCATGCCACTACGTTTGAGTCTTCCGCAGGGGCGTACGAGGAGGGGGCTCTTTAAATATTACATCTGCTTGCATTTCCCTTCCTCCGGCAATCTACATTCTACATTGCATAGCATCACATAAGATTAAGAAAAGAAATAAAATATGTTCTGATTCACAACAATACCCTTCAAAGCGTTTTCTGGTCAAGTATTGCATTAAACATCCATGTTTCCCATTTTGAAAACTGAATATTTTTATTGTGGTTTGTCTACAAAAGTGACTCGCGTATTTCTTGCTTCAGAAACGATGGAGAAATGAAGGTTTCAAAGGTACATCGGACATGCCGCTCTATACATGGAGGGTCACTTGAAATTACGCAGTTATTCCATTTGAGTATAATTACATGGTATAGAAAAAATACTTTAAAATCTCGCTTTTGCCCTTGACTAAAAAAGGTTTATGAAAAAAAGCTTTAATCAATACTGCCTTCAGTGTAAATATATATTTGATATCATAATTTATAATACAATATGTATCAATCCTATGAAAATATAGATATTTTTTTAGACACCTTTCCATCTATATTTTTCAATTTTCATCCCTTAAAGCTTACACCACAGTATTAAGAGGGATTGCCTGATTTTGTGCCCCCCCCCCCTTAAGAAAATTACATAAATAATTTACTAAAGCTTGTAATATGGAAGTGTGTATATGATCGAATAGTTTACATAGTTAAATAATGTATCATATTTTTTTCAAAAAAGGAGTTTTAAAGGGGAAGGGCACAATGTTGCCAAGAGGGGGGCACAAAAAATTGGCCCCCCCCCCCTACACAAATGATCTCGTACGCCCCTGTTCTTCTGGCAACTGTTATGTTTTCAAATGGTAAATTTAGTGCATTGAAATTCTGAAATTTCTTAAATGTAACATCTTTCGCGTAATGCGGCTGGATTGTTGAAAATCCAATTTTAATACACTAAATTTATTATTTAAAAACATAATAATTGCCTGAAGACTCAATTGTTATGACAAGGAAGACCGAACAGTTATGGCTGCCGGAAGACAAAAAAGCTAATATGTGGCAAGAAAGGGTAAATGTTGTGGTTTATGGACGCCTGCTTTCCACCGCTCCCACAACCCTCTTCGAAATCATTCTGTGAAAAATAAGCTGTAGTGTTTGAGATTGTAAAATCAAAGAACTAACTAATGTTTTTGTTGATATAGAAGCCAGATACCTGACGTAACAAACCTACCGAGCAACATCAAGAGAGGAGTTAACGGAGGACTACTGCGTCGCTGAAGTTTAATTGCAAGTGCCCATTTTCCAATACTAGTTATAAAGTGTTATTAAAGTTTTCCTTGGAAGTGATATTTCTAGTTCTATCCAAAATATGTTTTAGTAAGTACAAGATGTACCAAGAAGTTATGTTCTGTCAGGAATGGCAAGTTCTTCCAAATAGTACAAAATCCTTGAAATGATTTTTGTTTGCAAATGTTTCTATGGACCTTAATTGTTTATAAATGTATATATGATGGATATTTTATATGAATTATACTTTTTCACTTTACTTCTTGAATTTATTTATAAGTGATGTAGATTGTAATATTATAGCATAGGAAGATGAGGGAAAAGTAATTGACATGTTGAAATGTAAAATTATGAAGCACTTTTTTGCTCAAGGATTCGATGTAATAATCAATCTTCATAATTTTTATTTGTTAAGACTTTTATTAACTTCTGATTGACATTCTCCAGCCTTCAATGAAAATTCCGGAAAATCTAAAGAACATGTTTGTGAAAAATGAGAGATTACAGAAACTAATAACTGAATAAGAATACTAATTTTCGAGATAAGAGTTAATTTTTCATTTTCTCAACCTGTTCCATAACAATCTTATTAGTCTACTGTAGAATCTTTGCTACATTTTTTGTCGACGTTATTCAATAATTAAAAAATTCAATTCTCAAATTTAACCAATCAGACCAATAGATGATCTTGAAAGCCGACTTATATATAAATAAAACGATTATTGTCGCAAATAAATCCTAAAAAATTTCTTCACAATACAACATTCTCAGTCCAACTACCACTCATTGCCGGTCACTCCCTTTAGTGGCGCTCGTGATTTAAGGGAGTGTAAGCGTAATTTTAAGGACCCCTCCATGCAAATATCGCAATGTCCGATTTACAACTGTACCCTTAAAACCTTGATCTCGTCAAAAATGTTGATAGTCGTTCAGTGTTAATTTAGCATGTTTCTCCATTGCCTCTCATTCCAAGAAATGCCCAAGTTACTTCCGAAGGGAAACCATAAATGAATCATTAATTTGGAGATACTTTATGGATATGGATATCTAATTCCTACTTGATCAGACACAACTTTCAGGGGAACAGTTTTTATTCGGACATTGTAATCGTATCTTGGTGTTTCGCTTGACACTATGCGTAGAGTCTCTTTAAATAGATAAAATTCAGGGGAAAATATTTTACACCGTCGTTCCGTCTTATTTTCTGGCTTTAAAAATAACAAATAACCTCCACTGCGTCAGATTTTATTCAGATATTAACAATTTTTCATGATTACAATATTAACTGGTGGTGCTCATTTTCAAATCAAATATTTAAAAAAAAATTATTTCAAACCTTTCTCTTTGATACATACATAATATAAGGTATAGCTATTTTTTTTAGAATTTTTTAAACACACAAATATGAAGCTTGATAAGTCTCAAATATCCAAATCTTTCATTAGTATTCAGCTATACCAGTATACATGAATACATGGATACATGGTTACAATCCTGCGGCTGAAAGTGTAAATATCGAATCCAAGGATACAAAATCCAATTGAGGATACAAAAATTCAATTTAGGATACAAAAATTCAATTTAGGATACAGGATATCATAATATCGCACAGCACACACTAACTTTCCTGCACATGATCAACAACCTGGAATTACCAATATTAATCAGTGATCTCTAAGATACTTGATTGATTGATTAAGTGCGAGGAATAGATCAATTTTCAAAAAATAATTAAACCGTCAACTGGTTAAAACTATGGCGAATTTAAACATTAAATGGGGTTTTGTTCATCCGTGACTAAGCTTTTTTTGTAGATTTTTTCATTTTAATTTTTAAAAAATTAGTTTTATTTTTGGTGATTAAATAAGTTTATATTTTATGAGTGAATATGTAGTCGCAGATGATTCCACGTCAAATTACGAATTTTCAACATGCTTTTGATTAAAAAGACAAAAATCCACTAAAATTATTTTAATGCTATTCTGTGCTCTGGCTACTGCTATGAGATATCTTTTTAGAAAATCATTATTTTGTCAGATATTCGTTTTAATCTTTGAAATTGTAAACAGGATGATAGGTTGCTAGAATTCTGCTGCCATGAGAGAGAAGGTTTGGCCTCAAATTGATCATCAAAAACTTTTTATTTAATAAATTCGGCAGATTTGGTTCTTTAAATTTTCTTAAGTTTTAACGTGAGTGAACAACAACAACAACTTCTGGACTTAAAGCAGTTTTATTTCTACTGGACTTAAACCAGTTTTATTTCTACTGGAAACAAATTACTTGCCCCCCTTAAATCCAGATTCAGGAGACCAAGGGGTGAAATAAGCCGTTTACTATAAAAATGGCACTGGTGGGCTTCTTTTTTCATCCCCTGGGTCCTTCTGATAGTATATATGGGATAGTAGAAAAATATACAAGATATCTCAATATATCACGTCAAAGTATCACCGTTTTATAGATTTAAATATTCATAACAATCATCTTTATAGAACTCAGTAGAGGAACGTTTTGTACTGAAACAGGTTCCATAGTACACAGAATACATAGATCTATGCACGGAGTACATGTACTTCAGTTGTCAAGAACCGTACATAAGATTAGGTAAATAGCGAGCACAGGGTAGCAGCTGTATAACTCTCACAGTTGTACAGATTCAGCATCAGCTGTCTGTCACCGGGGAAGCTGTTACTCGTAGAAGCAACAGCTGTTAAGCTGTCGGCGAATCTGTTACTCTGACAGTTACACAGCAAACACGAGTAGAAGTTAACTGCTTCCTGAAATATAAGATTCGATTCAAGGGACAGTTGTTCAAATTGCACGTGAACTTGAATATAAAGAGATATTGGCATACACAATTCACAATCAGGTTTAAATCAGGAGAACTGAATTTAATTTGGAATCTTGGATTGAATTAGGAATATTTAAAAATATAAAATAAGAGATAAGGGACTTATTAGGATCTCAATAAAATAAGGGGATCTGGATATAATAAGAGGATCTGGATAGAATAAGGGATCATGGATAGAAAATGTGGATCTGGATAGAATAAGGGGATCTGGATTGAATAGAATAAGGGGATCTGGATTGAATAAGGCATCATGGTAAAAATAAGGGATCTGGATAGAAAAAGTGGATCTGGATAGAATAAAGAATTTGAAAGAATATAGGATCATGATAGATGAAGGGGATTTGGAAAGAATAAGGGGATTTGGAAAAAATAAGGGGATTTGGAAAGAATAAGGGGATCTGGAAAGAATAAGGGGATCTGGAAAGAATAAGGGGATTTGGAAAGAATAAGGGGATTTGGAAAGAAAAAGGGGATTTGGAAAAAATAAGGGGATTTGGAAAGAATAAGGGGATTTGGAAAGAATAAGGGGATCTGGAAAGAATAAGGGGAATTGGAAAGAATAAGGGGATTTGGAAAGAATAAGGGGATTTGGAAAGAATAAGGGGATTTGGAAAGAATATGGGGATCTGGATAGAATAAGGGGATCTGGATGGAGTAATGGATCAGGATAGAATAAGGGATCAGGATAGAATAAAGGGTCTGGGTGGAGTAATGGATCTGGATAGAATAAGGGATCAGGATAGAATAAAGGGTCTGGATGGAGTAATGGATCTGGATAGAATAAGGGATCATGGATAGAGTAAGGGGATCATGTAAAGGAAAGTGGATCAGATTTTTTTCTTCTTTAAGCCCCCGAAAATTTATATATGTTCCCCACGATCTTTGAAGAGAGTAGGGAAATGATTTTTAAAGAAATATTTACTTCTGATAAATACAAATTTGATGTTTTAAAGAGACTATTACTGAAGTTGAAAGCAAGGTTGATAAATATCTCAGTATAGAAGGAATCCTCGGGCAACGTCAAGTTCTCGATACTACCAAAAGTAACTTCACTTAAGTGATCTTTAATATTAGAAGTGGCATGTCCGATTTTTCACACTTTTTCCAAAATATAGGTAACATTGTGAAAGATATCACTTTAACACAGAATTGGAAATAGAAAACTAACAATTTTCAGATGGAAAAAAATGATATCTTTGTGACGAAGGTTTAAATTGAAAATTCGTCGCCAGTATAAAGTATACTGCGAGAGCAAAAAAAAGACATTGAATGACTAGGAAATGCTTTAATAATGATATGATTCTTACGCCAGTTGATTTTATGAATATTTAATTGATTTATCAATTCATTTGATATAAAGTAATTATTTAAAAATGGGTTAATCAATCTATTGACAAATCAAATGATTATTCGTATAATTAAAAAAACATTCTACGATCTACAATTTAATAATAAAGTCAGTCACGTTGGGGATCTTTCATGATCATTTTCTAATACTAATAATCCAAAATATAACTTCCATTGATCTATACTCTGTTTGATTGATCGATAGATTAAATTACCTGATTTATCTCCTATTTGAACAATATTTCCTAAAAGAGGAGGTTTACTACACCGTCTTCGTATCTCCTGTAGACCTGGATTCAGAAAAAACCCCATTTAATCAAATTTGGACAGACGAGTTTAAAATAAGCCTTTAAAAAAGGCAAGGGCATGGAATTGCTTAAGGAAGTATTTCAGTCACAAACTGTAACTACTTTAAAAAAAAATTTATCAGATGTATTATATGCATATCTAAAGGATTGGCTTAATCTTGCACCAGAGTCAGAATTTAATGAATTCGAGCCGCGTCTCAAATCCGCCAAAAACCGGTTTTAATTGAGCGCCGGCTTGAAACATTTAATAAATTTTAAGTGGGACCTGTATCCGCCCCTGAAGAAGAAATCAAAGTTTTCTAACCAGGACAATCAGACGGAGAACAAACCAAACTAATAAATAATATTATAAATCTATGTTCGGAAAACTTGAATATTGAGTTAAAAAGGAGGGTAAGATGAGCAGAATAAGAAGATCTAAACTAAGAACTAAGAACTAAGAATGAGAGGAGAGGGATTGATGAGTATTTTCATTAATTAATTATTAACCATTACTAAGGATGAAGATGAAGTAGAAGGATGGATAGAGAAAGGATGAGTATATTCACCTGAACTAAGATGAACAATGACAAAATAGGTAGATAAGTAGACAAAATACGTAAGTAGACAAAATAGGTAGATAAGTAGACAAAAAAAGTAGACAAAATAGGTAAGTATACAAAATAGGTAAGATAAGTATACAAAATAGGAAGATAAGTAGACAAAATAGGAAGATAAGTAGACAAAATAGGAAAATAAGTAGACAAAATAGGAAGATAAGTATACAAAATAGGTAAGAGAAGTAGACAAAATGGGAAGATCGGTAGACAAAATGGGAAGATCAGTAGACAAAATAGGTAGATAACCTGACAAAGTAGAATGATCAGTAGACAAAATAGGAAGATAAGTAGACAAAATAGGAAGATCAGAAGACAAAATAGGTAGATAAGTGGACAAAATAGGAAGATCAGAAAACAAAAAAGGAAGATAAGTAGATGAGTAGACAAAATAGTGTAATCGATGAAAAATAAATTATTAATATATTAGGAAGTTGAAGAGGTAAGTAAGTTACGATAAAATATTATCATTTATTTAATATTTACCGTAAAATTCTTCAATCTTGACAAACTGGATCTATACGGGAGACTTTATGGTTCATGGGTCACATTTGCTAAAAAATAATGAAAACTGGTCGCCTATATGCTGGAGCTCTCAGGATAATTCTTTAAGCGACAAAGGAAGTATTTAATTTATAATCGTCCTTCTTTTGGCTCTTTTTCTTTCTTTTCTTGAGTTTAGTTTCTTGTCCAGTAACCTACTGTACCCTCCTGTTCCATCATCTTGTTCATCTGCTCCTTGCTCCTCGATCTCTTGCTCCTGGTACGGTTCCTCCTTAATCTCGATCTCTTCCTCCTTGTACTGTTCCTCTTTGTGATCGATCTCTTCCTCCTTCTCCTGATCCTCGATCTCTTCCTCCTGAAACTCTTCCTCCTGACACTGTTCCTCCAGGTCCTGATCCTCGGTCTCTTCCTCCATCTTAAACTCAACCATTGAAACAGCCTCATCCTAAATATTCAGGGATATTTATTTTCTTGAAAAATTATTCCCCCCCCCCACAATATCTCAGATATATTTACATTTTAATCAACAAATCAACAAATCTTTTTTATGGTTTCATTCTGGGGAAAACACCATTTTAATGAGTGGGATGATTCTCTAAGAAAAAATTACCCTTCTCATTTAGAATAATACTAACAACACGAATTTCAGGGTGGCTAAAACTTTTTTGAAAAAATCCGTACAAAAATCCATACAATTTTCGAAAAAAAATCCGTACAATCCGTACAATTTTCGAGAAAAAAAAACGTACAATCCGTACATTTTTTTTTTAAATCCTTCTCATCCATCCCATTCTAGTTATTCTACTCATCCTACTCATACTGTTCATCCCACTCATCCTGCTCATCCTGTTCATCCCACTCCTCCTACTCATCTTACTCCCTACTCATCCTGCTCATCCTACTCATCCTACTCATCCTACTCATCCTACTCATTCTACCCATCCTACCAATACTACTCGTCTTACTCATCCTACTCATCCTACTCATCCTACTCATCCTACTCATCCTACTCATCCTACTCATCCTACTCATCCTACTCATCCTACTCATCCTACTCATCCTAATCATCCTTCTCATTCTACTCGTCCTGCTCGTCCTACTCGTCCTACTCGTCCAACTCGTCCAACTCGTCCAACTCGTCCAACTCGTCCAACTCGTCCAACTCGTCCTACTCATTCTACTCATTCTTCTAGTCCTAATCATCCTTCTCATTCTGCTCGTCCTGCTCATCCTGCTCGTCCTACTCGTCCTACTCATCCTACTCATCCTTCTCATTCTACTTATCCTACTCGTCCTGCTCGTCCTGCTCGTCATGCTAGTCATGCTCGTCCTGCTTGTCCTGCTCGTCCTGCTCGTCCTACTCGTCCTACTCGTCATACTCGTCCTACTCGTCGTACTCGTCCTACTCGTCCTACTCATTCAACTCATCCTACTCATTCAACTCATCCTACTATCCTGCTATCCTAAGCATCTTACTCATTCTTCTCATTCTAGTCATTCTACTCATCCTGTACATCCTACTCATCCTACTCAACCTACTCATCATCCTACTCATCATCCTACTCATCATCCTAATCATCCTACTCATCATCCTAATCATCATCCTACTCATCATCCCACTCATCATCCTACTCATCCTCATCATCCTACTCATCATCCTACTCATCATCCTACTCATCATCCTACTCATTATCCTACTCATCATCCTACTCATCATCCTACTCATCATCCTACTCATCCTCATCATCCTACTCATCATCCTACTCATCCTCATCATCCTACTCATCATCCTACTCGTCATCCAACTCATCCTACTCATCATCCTACTCATCATCCTACTTATCATCCTACTTATCATCCTACTTATCATCCTACTTATCATCCTACTCATCCTACTCATCCTACTCATCCTACTCATCCTACTCATCCTACTCATCCTACTCATCCTACTCATCCTACTCATAAGTTAAACTAACTTCATTTTGAAGAGAATTTTTTTTGAAATTTTCATGAAAAATTTGCTGAAATGAGTGAAAATAAAAAATTCGGTGTATTTCCAGAATAAAAATCCGTTCAATCCGTACAATTTGAAAAAAAAATCCGTACAATTTTAGGGTTATTAAAAAAATCCGTACAATCCGTACATTTTGGCCACCCTGGAATTTACGAAAGATTTTTTACCGTAATATCTTCTGCAAGAGGTTGAGCCGGTTTAGTCGCCTTCTTCCTGGGTTTAGGTTTAGACTTAGCAGAACCATGAACAACTTGCACATTCTTCAGATTATTATCCAAACCTCTATTCCAACCTGAACAATAATTAATGATAATGGAAAAAATGAAATAATATGATAATCTTATGAGGAAATGCGGCCTGAGTTAAAGACTGCATCAAGATTATTTCATCTCGTTTAAGAATTTCCATTATTACATTTTTTTCCTCATAAGATTATTATTATATCATATTTGTGAGGTTCCATGGACACATACCCAAGAAATTATATTAAAAAATAATTCTGGTGAAATCCGACTATTTCAAGTTGGAACAGTTAACATTATGAAAGGTTGCAAATAAGTTTTCTGCTCTTGTTCTGACTATCACTGTTTTTTATTTTTCTATTGTTAAAATGTTAAAAACCATTTTATAAGTAAAAATTGGTTCTTAAGTTGAGAGTATTGCATGTGGTGTGATCGTTTCCTTTGATAAGTTTGTTTGTTAACCAATTTCTAATAATTTTGCTCTTTATTTTAAGTTGATACTACATTTAGATACAGCATGTTGAATGTGCCTTGAGTTTTTTTAGATGGGGAGAAGGTATAGTAGTGGGTTCTCTTATACTGAACAAAATCGTGCTTTCATTTACACAGAAGAAATCATTTCCTAAATCTTCCAAAAAGAGGAGATTAAAGCAGGTTATCTAGTTAGAATCAGTTCGACTTGAACTGATGAAGATCTTTGTCTTTTATTCATGAAGCAAGATTCACTGTTTTCATTGCTATGGAGTATGGAGTGATAAGACCCAATTAAAAGCTTGACAATAGTATTTCACTAGTTTTTATCAGCTAACATTTTTGGTTTTGATTGTGGTTTCACTTCATCATCTCGAGCTATGCGATATATGGTGACTGCTGGCTTAGGCTGAGGTACTTTAGAACTAGTTTTAGCTGTAGGGTGGGGGCAAATTGACCTCTTCAAATTCTGTCTAATTTGTTTAAATATTACAACTGAATTTGTAATTTTTGAAACCCTTATTATGTATTATTGTTCAGTATCCAATTATAAAATGAAAAAACAATTGATTGAAATTGTGAAGTAAAGACAACCTTTCCATTTTTGAAAAGCTCTGACCGTACTATTACAAATATGCAGAGATTTGCAAAATCTCACCAAATTTGGTTCGCAATGAAGAAAAACTTTTAGGAAAGGTCAGAAAATGTTTATTAAACACAAGGGGTTCCACTCTTCTGTCAGGAATAAGGTTAAGATTTAAACAGAAATTCCTGAATTAAGGTATATTAATACTTCAAAAAACGAAAAAGGCAAGTGAGCATGAAAAGGTAAGTTTGCATGTTTTAATATTAAAGAAAAAGGTAAGTGAGAATGTTAATTTAAAGTATAAAAAGTTAAGTGCATGTATTAATATAAAAGAAAAAGGTGAGTTTGCCCAATGCAGTGCATGTAGATCAATATTAATATTGATCTATGTTAAAAAGATCAATATATGGAGCAATGTTGATCTATGTTAAAAAGATCAATATATGGACCAATATTGATCTATGTTAAAAAGATCAATATATGGAACAATGTTGATCTATGTTAAAAAGATCAATATATGGACCAATATTGATCTATGTTAAAAAGATAATAAGGAGCGTGTAAGAATGAATATTCTTCAACAAGTGTAATAATTTCCATTCTTTAATGCTCGGAGCGTGTAAGAATATACATTTTTTTACGCTCTGACCATGTAATAATTTCCATTCTTAGACGGTCTGAGGGTTAAAGAATGAAAATTCTGCACCTACAGAATAAGCATTCTTAAACGCTGGAAAGCGAACAAAATTAAAATTGTATCTCCTGAACCGTGTAATAATAGGAATTCTTACACGATAAGTTTACTACTATGGAACCGAACAGATATGATATAATATATTTTATACTCTTGAAACAGAATTCCTCTAAAATATGAATGTTGATCATTTGCAACTTAAAAATTAGCGTGTTTTCTCATTCAAGAAGGCATTTGCTCATCAAAATTGGCAGATTATTTTTTTAGAAGAGTTTAATTTACTAGTCTTATTTATGGGAGGACAAAATACACAAATAATACTCGAAAAACCTATTACTTTCTGCACATAATTTTTATTAGCCTCATAGAGTTTTTTAAAAGATTCATTCATTTCAAATTATCTTTCTCGAAAATCTCAATTTAAAGCCATAACTTATCCATTTTGGTGTGGGACACCATGTATATTGACTTAAGGTGAATAGAAACACTAACTTGATATAACAGTGTTGGTGACAGTTATAACATCAAGTTTGGTAGGAACATCATCAGAAAGCTCCGCCGGGGCAGCATCATGATTCCAGGTGATCTGATCGAGGAACTCTTTGGCAATTTTCAAATATTTGAAATGTTTTCCTATTATCAAGAATTTATCAATAATAATAAAACAATAACGCCCAAAAACATTTTATACTTTTTACCTGGATTAAAATTCAAAATACATGGATACTCATTACAGTTACAAGAGATTTAAAGTATCATTAAAATTATGTAAAAATGTAATTACAGAATCAGAATATTTCTGCATTATTTTATAATTTTGAAAAGAAAATAGAAAATTAAATTAAGAAAAATCCAACATTGTATAATAATGATACACGGAAATCAAACCCTAGTTGCCGCAAACTACAACAAATCATAAGATAGATTAAACTCTTCTTTATGTTAAAGTTATTATATGAAGTTCCCTGAAGGTGATATATAAGTGTTCCAGGACGACTTGGCGGTTCTATGGTATCTTCTCACCCAACCTGGCCCCAACTCAGGAGCTAAAAATAAATTATAATATAGGAAAACAGGAATGTAACTAAGGGTGATCACACGAAGGTGGTTAACATTTTTTAGGGTGCATAGTTTCTGTGGGTGATGTGGCCCAATATGAGCATTGTGTGAAAATGTCAGGTTGATAGCATTACATCAGGTGGAAGTCGTTTTCAGTTTTTCAACAAAACCTTAATATTTGATGGATGTCAATCTCCAATCCCAAATATTCTTAGTGATCCCGGTAGATTGGAGGCTATATGCAATTTATCTCAATTTAAGAACAAAAAGTGCGTCTTAGTGCAAAATTTGGTGTCACAAAGTGATAATTGCCCTTTCCTCATTATTGACACTAATTCCACCTGAATTCATCAAGTTAGAGAAACAATTTTTTTTGCATTTTAATACTAAGGGTTAACATCACACAATAAACCTAGGCACCTTTTGATTTTCTGACATTCACTTTTTCGTGTGTCACCCTAGTTTATCTTCTTCGAACATGTTTCAAAAATCATGTATTCCCCCCTTATATAAGCATATCTTGCGGGAAATATTTAAGGTTCACGAGTTCACTTAAAATAAAACAAGTATTGGAAGAATTAAGGAAACACGACCAGAAAATGACTCAAGTAAGGTCCTAGTACGAACTCAGTCAATCAAACAATTGTTAAAATAAACTATCATGAATTCGAGGGCAAGTTCAATAAGTTAAGTATTACGTAATGATAAGGCATAAAGTATTTTCTAGTAAAAATAGTCAGCACATGAATTCCATAATGGATAATAATTAATTAACAAAGGTATCAACAATGTTGACAGTTCTGTTTGGTTTACGTTATTCGGCCAGGAACCTAACAGATTTACCAGGAACACCACTTACCATGGAAACCTTGTAGCAACAAGGTCAAAGTCTGACATCAGACTTAACTTTTTAACAAATAGTATTGTCCCCAGATGGAATGGACTCCCGACAGACGTCAAGGACTCCAGAACCACATTTTCAAATCCAAACTTGACAAAATGTTTAAATATTCTGACCCCTATACTTGTGCATTTGAGTTGTGTGCCGAGATAACCAAACGCAGACGAGAACCAGGCAGACCAGAACCCTACTCTAGGAGGACAAGGCAGACCAGAACACTACTCTGGAGGACAAGGCAGACCAGAACCATACTCTAGGAGGACAAGGGAAACCAGAACACTACTCTGGAGGACAAGGACTGATATTTCTAACATACTCCTTGCGCATAATTTAATAGGACTAAATAAACTCAATATTCGATTTCTGACGATTATACACCTGCAGTATCTTGAAGAGAGGCGGCGGGCAGGATGGCGGCGGAGGCACGAGGCTGGTTGGCAGGGGCGGCAGGGGGCTGGATGGCGGCAAAGGCAGGAGGCTGGATGGCAGGGGAACACTTCAACTTTTTGCTAAACATAACACGAGAAATAAAAAAGAAAACGTGGCATGTTAAAGACAGATTATTTACGCAAAAGGGGGGGGGATGAACTTTCGTTTAAAAGTATTAAAAGGGGGACACGTGCCAGTTGATCAATTTTTCATTCTCAAATCTGCAAAAATTAAGAGAGTTATCAAAAGAGGGGAGGAAGGCCAGCCACAAAAATTTCTCGTCCGAGCCACCTCTAAATCATCGTCTTTGGATTATTATGTGTTTTAAAGTTTCTAATTCTAGAAGATGAAACTATTTTTTTTTAATCTGGCCACGTTAGGGCAAAATATATATATAGACTTAAGTATTGCAATTATTACATCATGTTGGAATCGTTAAAGCCATAAGAACGATGTCAAACTTTATTTAGGTAAAACTTAAATCTCTACCGCCTCCGTAATGGCTAACCTACGCGATATAAAATAAATAGCAGAATATTTGGCATTTTCCCCATCGAACCACTCGGAAAAATTGGTTTTCATTAAAATTAGCAAACAAGAATGAAGTTCTTCAAACTCGGAATTATTTCGGCATTCTACACCAGGAATATCTGAAAATGAGCGTAAAAAAGGTCGACATTAAACGCGAAATTTTTAATTCAATTGAACTATTTTTTTCAACTTAAAAAAATTCAATATTTCGACCTAACGTGGCCCATTTCTTGAAAAATAGTTTTATCTTGGAGGATTAGACACTTGAAAAAATGAGCAGAAAGGGGCTCGGACTAGAAATCGTTGCAGCTGGCCTTCCTCCCCTTATCATAAAAGCTCAACTAAAAATAAGAAAAATACTTCAATCCAAAATCCTCCAATTATCATCCCCACCCCTCCAAGTTACCGAGAAAAAAACTGGAAAACTAAAAATAATTTTTCAATAAAATATGAACCCCTGTCCAGCTAATAACTACCTTGGTGCACTCTCTGATTCGGCCTTTCGTTTATTAGAATCCGGGATCTTCTTTGTTAAAGCTTCAGACTTCTTTGTACTTGCAGGTTTAATCGGAGTTTTGGTTTCCTCAGGGTTGGCAGGTTTAGGGGTCGTAAGGTTAGGTGTTGCATGGTTAGGGGTTGCATGATTAGGAGTTACAGCGGCAGCTCTATTAGGGGTAATCGCTGACTTTCTATAAGAAGGTCCAGGAGTTCCTGAAAAAAATTCTCTAGATATTTATGAAGATTCTAAATGTTTTTAGAACATAGAATAAAATAGGAAACAAAAATCTGATCAGTTTGCTTAAAAAGAGTGTTTGCAAAAACAAGGGTTGATTAGAATCGATCATGAATTCAGACAAATTTCCGAAATTGTTCATTCTTTTATCAAGGCTTGGAGTAATAAATCTGCAGATAAGAGATCAACGGAGTTTTACCAATTTCTCCATCAAATCAATATTAACAATTATTAATCAAAGATTACATTTTAGTTTTTAGTTTTTTTTTTTAAATTAATAAGGTTTATTTCTGTCAAAAAGTAAAATGTAAAATAAATGTTGTAGGTATGGGATATAAAATCTTTATAAAAACCTTGATCTGAGCTTGGGTTCTTCGCTACCGTTGAGTCATTCCAAGGATCACTTCCATAAAAAAAAAATGGGCTGCAATAGTTAACATTTTTCTGTTTGTACGGGGGATAGAGAAAATTGCTTGTTTAAATCAATTAAATGTAGTTTTAGTGAAAATTTATGATTTTGAAGGAACAGGCTCCAACTTCAGAAAAATCACTTTCCCTAAAATGGGATATTTTAAAACCGTTATCCAAGAACCAAAATCTTAAAAATTTCCTTATCTCTGAAGGATTCATCAAGCTTTAAAATAAAAATAAGCGAATAAAAAAAATTCCTCTTAAGTTTATAAGCTGGGTAAATGTTAGTTTGTTTACCTACAGCTGTGTTCTACACGTGGGTCAGATCCGTAGATAATTCCAACTTTTCCTAACATTCAAGTTGACTTCAATTCAAGGATAGAGGCCCTCAAAATAGTTTTTTTAATTCTTTTCAAAAAAGGCTTTAAATTTTATTAATTCTTCATCAGCAGGGATATTTTAAAGGGGGGGGGAAAAAAGATCAAAAAAAAATTGAACATAAAAAGGTAAGTTTTTATTCTTCCTTTTTCATACTTTTTACCCCAAAAATGTACATACCTATCTTCTGGAGAGGGGAGGAATAATTTTAAAGGAAAATAACACCCCTGCATCAAATCGTTGATAAAATATATTTAAAAAAATGTTGACGAGTTTTATGAGGTCAACTTTCCATCTCTCTGATATCTGTGGAAGGTGTATGTGATACTGTCTCCAGGATTAACTAAAAAAAACGTATTTTTGTAAAATAAAATTATTTTAATTACTTTGAACTATTCGAAATATATTTTAAACAATAAACCGTTCATATCCAATTCTTATATGTGAAAATGCGGGAAGAAAAAAAATGCATTATTTAATATGGGGGGAGGGGGGCCCGTCAAATACGTCACGGAAACTAGTTCTTCAGCAGTCCAAATACGTCACAGATAAATATACACTAATCCTATCGACTATACCTGTACACTACATACCTTCCTTGTATCTCACCTGTTACAAGATTAGTATCAACCATACAGTAGTCTACAGTACATTTGTATCTCACCTGTTACAAGGTTAGTATCAACCTTCACCATTAGTACTTCGTTGGTTTTACAGATTACCAGGTCCGGCCTGACCTCTAGAACACGACCCCACAACCTAAAGTAATCAAGGGTTCAATTTGGTTTCTAAGGGACAAAATTTCAAAATTTCAAGAAACCCTCCATTTCTAAAATGGCATATTCGATTCACAAATGCTTTGTCCGATCAAGAATGAATTAAATATCTATGTAAATAATTTAAAAAAAAGATTATTTTCAATTTTTTCTACTGCAAGAAAACAATGTAAAAATTATTTAAATTAAACAATGTTCAAGCTAGAAATTTGTTTTTGATCAGATACAGATTAACAGGGTATCGTTGTTTTTCTAAATGAAGGGTCATTGTAATTACTAAACATCATTTCATCATAATCTTTCCCAAGTATGTAAGGAATGTTTTTTATCGCTGTTTAGTGGAAAATAAGATTATCAGGGTAATAGAGGAATAGTTGGCGGGATATATATTTTCGCTAACAAATCTTTAACTCCTCAGATGTTAGGAATTTTTGCAATCGCTGAATTGGTTAAAATACTTGATTTCTTGTTTAAATTGTCAAAATGTGAAAAAAAAATCAGAAAGGGTAACTTTTATATCAATAAAATACAGGGCTAAAATTTATATATTTGGAAAGCTCTTGAAAAATGGATGTCACATGTTAATATTTGTCAAAATAAATATTTATTTTAGAACATTGACGTCCTTTTTGACCCTTTTAAAATCCTCCCTTGCAACCTAACCATTGAAGATAAGATGCCTAATTTATTTTAATGAGCAGGCCTTGAAAAGTTGGAGTAGGGACATATATCACACTCACCTTTCTCAACTCTAAGGGCAAAATCATAGAGGGGGGGGGGGCGTGTTTTGTGGGATGGAACCACCCCCAATCCATATTACACAAAACAGCCCAATCGGGACAGGGTTAAGAAAAAAAAATTTAATCACAGCACGCATGAGTTTACACGTTATGAATTTTTTAAGTAAAAATATAGCAACTATCATTCTCGATTCGAAGTGAAAATGAATTAAGTACGTTTTTCTATTATCCCCCCCCCCTGCCCCATAGCCAATTTAAAAGGTCCTCCATGAAACTCGAGCGCTTTAATTTTTCACGATTTGAACAAACAAATTTTCGATAAAGTTATTAAAAAATCCCAATAGAACACAACAGTTAAACATTATGCTAGAATTACCTTTCTCCGGGATTTGGTCTGAAGATAGTAAACTCACCCTGAAAAAAAAAATGTTTTATGTTTAATGTTTTATAATCAGAGTTCAGTGTTCAGTGATCAGTGTTCAGTGTTAGTATTCAGTGTTCAGTGTTAGTATTCAGTGTTCAGTGATAGTATTCAGTGTTCAGTGTTCAGTGATCAGTGTTCAGTGTTCAGTGTTCAGTGTTCAGTGTTCAGTGTTCAGTGTTAGTATTCAGTGTTCAGTGTTCAGTGTTCAGTGTTCAGTGTTCAGTGTTCAGTGTTCAGTGTTCAGTGTTCAGTGTTCAGTGTTCAGTGTTCAGTGTTCAGTGTTCAGTGTTCAGTGTTCAGTGTTCAGTGTTCAGTGTTCAGTGTTCAGTGTTTTTCAAAGGGGGTGGGAGGAAAACCGGTTTTAAACCTTGATGTTAACTTCCGGTTTAAAGGGAGAATACACAATACTAACCTGTATGTTAACTTCCGGTTTAAAGGGAGAATACACAATACTAACCTGTATGTTAACTTCCGGTTTAAATGGAGGATACACAATAATAACCTGTATGTTAACTTCCGGTTTAAAGGGAGAATACACAATGCAAACCTTTATGTTAACTTCCGGTTTAAATGGAGAATACACAATACTAACCTGTATGTTAACTTCCGGTTTAAAGGGAGAATACACAATGCAAACCTTTATGTTAACATCCGGTTTAAATGAAGAATACACAATACTACCCTGTATGTTAACTTCCGGTTTAAAGGGATAATACACAATACTAACCTGTATGTTAACTTCCAGTTTAAAAAGAGAATTCACAACACTAACCTTGATAATAACTTCCGGTTTAAAGGGATAATACACAATAATAACCTTGATGTTAACTTCCGGTTAAAAGGGAGAATACACAATACTAACCTTGATGTTAACTTCCGGTTTAAATGGAGAATACACAATACTAACCTGTATGTTAACTTCCGGTTTAAAGGGAGAATACACAATACTAACCTTGATTTTAACTTCCGGTTTAAAGGGAGAATACACAATACTAACCTTGATGTTAACTTTCGGTTTAAATGGAGAATACACAATACTAACCTGTATGTTAACTTCCGGTTTAAATGGAGAATACACAATACTAACCTGTATGTTAACTTCCGGTTTAAAGGGAGAATACACAACACTAATCTTGATGATAACTTCAGGTTTAAATGGAGAATACACAATACTAACCTTGATGATAACTTCCGGTTTAAAAGGCGGGAGTCCTGGACTTTTCAGTTTGATTTTAGAGATATCCCAGGCCAGAAGAACACCGCCTAGCTCAGGCATATAACTCTTTCTGTTCTCACTTAACCAATCATATACTCCATCCTCAAAAACATGCTGCAAAATGATTAGTTAAAATCAGGATCAGATCAAAAGAAAAGTGTTGTGTTGTGCATAAATCATAAGAATAAAAAATGAACCAACTGGCAAAAAAAAATTTGATCAGTCCATTTGAAGAAAAAACTGTTGAACCCGAAAACAAAATGGTTTAAATGATGTTGAACCTAAAAGTGGCTTCAAGGGTTAAAATTTTATGAAATTTTGCTCCTTGGGAAAGGAAGTTTAAAGGTTTTATCGAAAATTTTGCCTCTACGGAAGAATAGTTTTTGGAGGAAAAAAAAAAGGTAAAATTAAAATGTAAGCTAACTTCCTGTTTTCTCGATTTCCAGCAAAGCTCCAAAAACAAACGAATAGTAAGTATTTTTTTTTTTTGGGGGGGGGGAGGATTTGAATTTCGAAACTTTTCTGGCGATGGGGGAGAATGAAAGATTGGAATAAAATCTACTATTTTTTGGCTAATATAGAAAATAAATCCATGTTTTTTATGCACTCACTTCACTCTCTAAATCGTCAGAATCAAATCAAATGAAGAAATACCTGAAACTCTGGTTCTATGGTTACTGTAAGCTTAGTTTTGATTGCTGTTACAGTTGAAACAGAATCAAAGGCAATCATTAGCTTAGAAATCTTTTCTGAAATTCACACATGTTGATTTTCATAAACCTGATATTAAAAACAACTGTTAATATTACGATAGTATAAAAAGATGCAGAAAGGATTTGCACCATTAAAGGTCTATCAGAGGATCATCATTGTCCATTATTTCTTGTTTGTAGCAGAACCCCACTGTGCCATGGTCACTATTATCTTCATAAACACCATCATCGTGGTCATCCTGGTCTTGATGTGATTCAATTTCTATTTCTGTTTCATTTATTCGTCTTTTCTTTCGAATCGATTGTCGTCTCTGTCGTGTTCTAACCCTGTCTTTAGATCTGTGGAAGAATTCTTTCAGTTTCTGTGTAAAACGTATTTCTCCTGCCTTAGTTCCGTTTGTGTAAACAGATTTCATCATCTTTAACAGAAATGAATTCTTAGCAAACGTATCGTAATTAATATTGGACCAAACTTCAAAATCTGCGAGTGCTTGAAGGAACTTAGTAGGAAGAGGAAATGCTCGCATAAAACTGTGAAGAACAACAGAATTACACTCAGCCAACTTGTTGAATTCACCAAGGGAATGCTCATTTAACATAGGTGGTAGGACGTCAGATTCTGTAGTTTCGTCAGGTGGACGGGAAATTGAGTTCACGGATTTTTCAACTCGGTTCACGGATTCTTGCAATATTTTAATCATTTCCACTAATTTAGCAAAGTCACAGCTTTCATCAACCTGTTGACTTTTCATGGAGACACCTTTTCCAGGGGGTATTATTCTTTTGTCATCTAATGGCAGGTTGTCTTGAGCAATAAATAATTCAGATTCATAGTTCTCCAATTCTATATGTTCTTCCTTTATCATAACTTCATCTTCTTCATTAATATCATCAGTTGTATCTTTATCATCCATAGGAGTAATTTGTGCACCCATTGCATTATCACAAATAGTGTTAAATGTTGCTCCCTCCATGGTAGAATCTGTGTTTTCGACTGGTTGAAAAAGCTCACTGGGGGGCTGCAGCTCAAGCTGCAACAATTCAGTGTGATTACTATGAGATGGAATCTGTAGATCTTTTTCTTGGTTGAGTTCCGATGAGTTTTCATCCTCATTGAGTGATCTCATGGATTTACTAACTCTAGTGGGCTGTGTTCTTAGATCACGATCATTATTATCTATTGACTCCTTGATAGAATGAGGCTCCAAATAATCATCAGGTTCTGCGTTATCCTCCAAATCATCATCTTCCTTTCTCATCTTTTTTTCTTCTCTCCTTTTTTTTCGTGTATTAAATCTATCCTTAGCTCTCCAGAAAAATTGTTTTATTTTACTCAAAAGCATATTCGTTCCATCGCTTGTTCCGTCTGTGTAAACAGAAATCATTAGATCATAGAAGTGGGAAGCGTTCAAAATTGTTTTATAATTTATTTGTTTCCAAACAACATAATCAGCAAGCGCTAGAAGAAACTTGCTTGGGACAGTGAAAGCTTTCATAAGATTGAGAAGTCGAACAGAACCTTTCTTTGCTAACTCATTAAGCTCCATAATAGACTCAGCGTTGATGATAGTCGGCAATTCCTCCTCACTGTTTGTCTTCGTCGACGATTTGGGTATAGTCATTAAGACCTTCTCAACCCTATCCACCGTGTTCTTAATGCTTTGAATCATCTTAGCCAGGTCGTTTAAATTGTAATTATTACGTTCGCGTTCCTCCATTTTGCTTTACTTTAATATTCTGTAACTATAACATTATTAATCAATTAGGCTAATGAGTCCTAGAGAAACTTTATGAACTCCTCCTTCTTTTCTGTCAATTTAGTACACACTTATCTTATAAAAAATCAAATCCACCAATATAAAAATACGCGATGATAAGCAACCTGTGCCATGGGAACAAACTAGTTGCAGTCTTTTTAAGCATCATTATAACGAAAATTAAGGACTTTTTGGCAGGTTCTACATAAATACCTAGCATGCCAATTATAACTCATATCCCCCCCCCCCCCCGATAGTTAAGGACGTAGAGACTACCTTTGGACTTTGGAGCTAGTTTTTCTCATGAATTTTTTCAAAGTCAAAATCCAATTCCCCAGCGAAAATTTAAAATTTTGTGGATCTAGGGGGGTCCCCCAGGATTCTAGGGGAGGAGGGAGGGTACATACTCCCAATAATCCCCCTTAATTACGCCTCTGCAAAGTATAAATGGATTTTCAAATGTTTCACTTTCCCCCATTGTTTTGGAGTTAGGATGAGACTAAAAGCGCAACAACAGGGGGACATTAATTACAAACCTAACACTTGGCCCATTTCTAACACCCAGTGTTAGAAATGGGCACAGAATGAAAGACTGGATTTTGGGATCCTAGCCCAGATCAAGCGCAAAATTCGAAAATAAAAACTATAACCAACATTTTATTAAACATGACGAGGACAACAGTTTCCAGTTTTAAACTTTTTTTAAATAAAAATTTTAATAGGAGTTCTTATCATATTAAATCTCTTGACCGTTTTCAGAACAATGTTAGGTTTTCCATTTTCGAACATACCCTGAATTAGAAACATTGCCGCGTTTTCGAGACAAAACCCACTTTTCCGTTTTTGAGTATAATCCGCCTTTCAGAACAAAACTATCATAACGTACAAAATAATTCACTGAAAACAAAAATTATTTTATGAAAACTGAATCAGTTCTTAATTAATTCCAGAATCTAAGTTTCCACATTTTATTTGTTAAATTAGAGAATATCGATGATTTATTTTCCGACATTTTAAAGAAACAGTTTCCCGCAATTCTAGTTAATTATATGTATGGTAAAAACAAATATTAATATTTTGATTTCTAAATGCTGTAATAATTATTAAATTATAAAAGAACTGTTTGTTTCTTATTCAAAATTTTGTTTATATTTTAACTTATTAAGAAATCTTGTTTTAATACGTTTGTGCGTAAATGCTTAATGACATTGATGAAATGAATTCTGGTAATTGTCACAAAATCAGGATATGTTCCGAAAACGCGACATGAGGTGAAATCCGGTAAATGTTTCGTCTTCTCTTGGTTTTTCTTCACTTGTCGCATTTTGCCATGCATGCCTTTTTTCACCGAATTGAATTTTCTGATTTGAATTGAATGAAACCCAAAATTACATTTTGTTGCGGCATTTAGCTTTTTCGGCAATTACAATCGTCTTCGTATTTTCTTCTTATGAAAAAGTTTATTTTTTTCAATCATTAGTTTAAGAGTAATTGCTATGGAAATCACAAAGATATTTTTTTATTTCATATGATTTTAAATAAAAACTTTTGAATATCTTCTCCTTATAATTTGACATGACAACTGCTGCTGAGTAGTAGCGTAGGAGCTGCTCTCCTGTTGACAGCTTAAATCCCGGTTACGAGAGGGCCTCGGCATGAATATGAACAGCAGCTGAAGGGAAAACAGTCAATAAGAGAAATCTAATATTTACCTTTTACAATCAAATATTTTTAGGGTGAGGAAGGGAGATAAACATAATTTGGTAATTTCCTAGAGAGAACGATTTTTGAACCCCCTCTCCCATCAATATTGTATATCATATGGATATCATTGGTCATTGTGGCCGCAGCGCCGCGCCCAGGCCCCCTAGCCTGTCCTAGCGTCGGCGCTCGGTAATTTCCTAGAGAACGAATTTTG